ACCTGGGGGGGATAGGCGAGAGATGGGTAGTGATCAGGCCCTGGATAGGGCCGTCTGTGGTGGTTCCTCTAGGTCCACCACACGGTTTCCCAGTCTGGGAAGGGAAAGAAAGGTAAAACAAATATGCTGGGCCTGATGATCAGCTTCCTTCTTGCAAGGGTTAGCCGCGCAATAACTAGTAATTGTCAGGAGTGCCCGTTACGTACCTCTTGGCCCATGTTGATGGACATCCGGCGAAGAGTGTAAAACATCCACTCGGCTGATGTGGCTCCAAATTTATAATAACCCACAGGCTGGATGAACTGTGTCTGCGACAACCTTCCTACGCTGAATTGACTTTTATTATTTAGTGGACAGTATATTCGTCTATTGCGTTCCTATGTATTCCAGCTAGTGGGAAAAGTCTCTTAAAATACCGGACGGGCCTCCCTTCATATTTCCAACATCCGTTAGACATTCCATAAAACTGTTTTTAACTTATTTTAGCAATTGCCTACGCTAATACGGGGATCGGCTTACACATTCCTAAAATATTTTATTTTATTTGAGTTTATCGAACCAATATTTAAATATTATTGCAATTAATAAAAAGAAGATTTTTATTTCTACCATCACATGATAATTTTAAAGAATGGAAGAGATATGAGCATTTCAACTGTGATTGTCAAAAAAGAGAGATCCATTGTTAAACAATAATTTTATTCGGAATAAACTGACGGCAGTGGAAAATATTAGAAATTTAATAAATTTTCTGCATTATTTCAAAGAATCGGATTTTATAAATAGAACATGAAAAGTTAACAGAGCGTTGGGAAATTATTCCCTTACAGAATACTAACTTTGGCGTTTGGAATGTCCTTTGTATGAAGCACATAGAACAATGTTCATAGGGTTTCCAGGACCGCCCTATGAACCGTCCGCTCTTGCTTAATGCTTCCATTTATAACACGATTTATTATTGAAGCACGATAAAATGAGTCAATAAATGTTTGCAAAATCTACAATATAAACATCGATCAACCCTGACAAAAAAAGGTACGATTGTCCATTTTTTGTATTATTTTCAACGGATAAACTCTTCCATTAATTTAAACCTCTTGGAATAGAAAATAATCATCAGGCACAGGCACTGTTTGTGGATTTAGCAAAGGTTTATCTAGGTCCAGAAAGTGCTGGTTCAAAAGCCTGTTGGCAATGCTTTTACATTTTACATTGATTGCTCAGTTTCTACTCGAGCCGAAGAAACCTCGAACTAAAAATAAGTCGAGATTAAAAAAGTAAGAATATTACCCACACGAAATTTCTTTCTGTAAACAAAAGATCAAAGAGCATTCAAACAAAATTGATATATCAAAAACATACCTATACAGACGACTTTATTTTTAGATTTGTTTAATGCTGTACTGTGAATAGGTTTTAAGTTGATGTTAATGCCTTTTTTATAAACTTGTACCACGGCGACCAATGGTATATTGTTGCTTTAAGCCTAAGGCGGTTTACTAGAAGCTGTTTTATGGTATCCTTTATGATTCCCCGGGGCACGCCCTGAGTCTAATAGTTTGCTGTTTTTTTTCAAATGTCTTTTTATAAATGTTATTCATACCTAAGTCCTGGTATACAGTCTCACTTTTTTTTACCCGGATTTAATTTTTTTACGATGAATCTGCGTTTTCGGCAATTTGGTGTGCCGAAAAGGTGTGTTCTGGTATGGTATAAGGATACGAGGAAGCGGGGTTTGTGCTCCCCAGGCACTGCAGCCTTTCGGCTTAATTTACCTTCCTAGTTCCTTAGTTTAGTGCAATATACTCAATCCTTCTCCTTAGAAGTATCAGGTCGTTGGCTGTCCTTGGTACAATTTGATTTCCTAAGTTTTTTCGTGTGTTATGGGGGTTAAATCTCCATGGAGCATTCGAAGATGATATGGGTGGGTGTTTCCTCCTCCTCATTAAATAATCTGCTGATGGGATCATCGTTGTATGTGCTCATGTTATGTAGATGTTTTCTCAGACATCAGTGACCGGTTAGTGGCCCTACCACTCCTTTGAGTTTAGCCCTCTCTAATTTCAGCAGTGGTTTTGCCAGTCTTGGTGTGGGTTGTTTCATCATAGGTTTACTGTGTCTACCGCCGCTAGATTTATTAATATTTTTATAATATCTTTATTTACAGAACATATTTCCACTTAAACAATATGTATACATTACAATCTTCATAATAGAGGCATTTACAAATATAACAAAGTCATTATAATAAGTATAATCAGACCTGAATAGATTTCCTTCAGTGGTTTAGAATCGACAATAATTCTTTTTTATAACTGTTTTGTGACTGGTAAAATATATCTAGTTGGTCGTTTGCACAGTTTAGTATTTTATAAGCCCTTTCCAGGGGAGCATTTTTCATATAATTGTTTTTATTGCTTCCTGTATAAAACAACTCTGTTTTTCTTTTTCTATAGGCAGGTACATGAAATGTTTTCTCTTCTAGTAGAGAGGGGCATTTAATTGTATTGTTAATGATTTTGAACAATGCTGGAGCATGAGTCATCGATCTTCTAGATTCTAGTGAAATTATGCTTAATTCGGATCTCAGTAGAATGGTTTGGCCATCTGGTTCAAGACATATTTGTAGTTTGAGTCCACAGATTCTTAAAAATTGTTTTGCTCTTTTTCTAAAGTATATACATGATTACTGTAGTAGGGTGTCCAAACAGGTGAGTTATACTCTAAGTGGGACGTGACCAAAGCGAAATATAGGTTTTTAATGACAGTAATGTTATATATATAATTGTTTTTAACGAGGGTTCGCAACAGCAGAGGTCATATAAACCCTCAGGGTGCCGGTGTTTTAGAAAAAAAGACCATTTGTAGGTATGTCGGGTTCGAATGCAGGGCCGCTGGATTCGAAACCGGGACCTTTACCTTACAGTGATGAGCGCCGTGTCAACGCCTAATGCCAGAAACATACCCGATGCTACGCCATGCGACGCTACCCGACGCAAATCAAAACTCCGATTTTCCATAAGGTTGCATTACCCCCGTGCACATCTACCCGATGCTACCCGACGCAAATCCAAACTCCGATTTTCCATAAGGTTGCATTACCCCCGTGCACATCTACCCGATGCTATGGCATGCGACGCTACCCGATGCTACCCGACGCCTTGCCACGTTTTGGAGGGATGTGCACATCTATCCGACGCAAGCACACGTCGCGTACAGTCCACAGCGTTTATCGCAATAATCACTATCACAATCGCAACGCATCTTTTGTTCTTAATGCACTATTTTGAGCAAAACCTTGTAATAAATTGTTAGTTAAATTTTATGAGCACAACCATCTAAATTGTTTGTTAAACTTAATTGTTTTAAATAAAGTTACTCTGTTAAGTTAACCGCTGAGGCCACCGACGCCCCATATTTATATTAGTTATATTACTTACATTTATATATACTATGTGTTCAAGGAATGTTAACTTAGAATCAAAAATTCCCCCTAGGTCCTTTATGGAGTCTAGTGAAGAAAGTCTAATATCACAGATCTTATAATTGGTATTTCTGCTTGAAAGACCGAAGTGTACTTCCCTAATGAGTTTGATTGCTCATGTTTTGGGCATGTACAGAAAACGCCCGATCCGGTTCCTTCGTTTGTTTGGGAGCCATCTGTATACCATACGTTGTATCTGATGCTCTCCTGTGTTCTTCCTCTCCTTTATAGTCCGTTGAGACTTTGTAGGAAGTTGTAAAGAATGTTTCCGGGATCATATAATCAGTCTCCATTTCTAATAATGGGTGTCTGATTTTGTTGATTATGGTTGTAAGCCCGAATTGTTTAGTTCCTTTCCAATTTAATTGCTTTTGGAGCCTAAGTGAGCTTTTCCTAGCCTCTCCTTGTATAAATATTTCCAGTGGAGATTGGTTAAGCAAAGTTTCTAATGCATTGCCCCTGTGATACATAGGTTTGCTAGTCTTTGTATGCTGCCTAATGTTTGGGTAGCTACTTTCTGTTACATGTCCTCGGCCAATCTATCAGCCTCCTCGTTGCATGTAAGGCCTGGCATTCAAACGAAAGTGATTTTGTCGTTTTTCTCAACGCAGGGACTTGATGCGATACATAATGTTTCTGATTTTACAACTGATGACTGCCTTTAGTGCTCTCTGTCCAAATAAATGGCCATTCTTTTCTAGATAATACGAGGGGTTTTGATCGCTCTGGCGTATTGTTCAATAGCCACAGACTCGGTTTGAAATATAATGGCCTATTGCCGAACGCTTATATCAATTCTAGCCTATTAATTTCAACAAATACTGACCCCTGAGATCTTATTCGGTCTTGGGGCCACCTACCAGATAATTGGCATTATCTGGGATCCCCTGCGATTTCCGTATCAAATTAATAGTATTCTCCATGTGGTTGTTTTTGATTATTATACGGGGTTTGAGATACTAAACCCGCAACACTTTTGAGTCGTGCATGTTTAATCTAACTACATTTTAATAAATGCGAACTATTTACTTCAATATACGTCAGTAATTAAACGGAAAACATTGAATAATCGAATAATTACAACGTTTTATGACACCATTCGATGTCGCGATCCATGAAAGCAGGTTGGTGAAAAACGGCCGTTTCGAAAAGCCCCGCTATATTGGCCCTCTTTAGTTTACAAGTGAGATCAGGCACTCCCTCATATTATACGGCCGAAGGCTCTACTCTAAAATAACACGGTACCACCAAATTCCAAATCGATTTTTTACCATTTCAACGTTTGTCACTATGTAGAAAAGTTACTCGTTACAAAAATCACAGTAAAGCTTGATTATATGCATTATAAAAATAATTACTTAATGAACTGAAAAACGCAAAGAATGTACATTTTTATAGACAAAAAATGATAATTTTTTACGACAAGTATTTATCAGATAGCTATTAAAATAATTTGGGTTAACTTTCATCTACTATATATATATTTTTTTTAAATTGCCAAACCTTTTGATTTCAGGAGTCGGCTATGCTATCTGCATTTTGGACGTTTACATGGGGATGTACTACAACACAATCATCGGTTGGGCCGTTTACTACTTAGTGGCAAGTTTTAGATCGGAACTACCATGGACTTCGTGCAACAACAAATGGAACACGCCCAATTGTACTCCAATCTTAAACATATCTCATTCCAACTACTCTGTCAGTCCAGCGAGGGAGTTTTTCGAGTATGTTATTTCCCCCCATTTTTTTATCCACCTGATCAATGATAAATACGCCGATGAAAGGCTTGGCGATAAAAGGCCGTTGTTTGTCGTTCGGTTTGAAAAAACGAAGGAGTCTATATTAAAATTACTAAACGTGCTCGATAAACAGGGAAAGAACACGAGGAGAGTAAACATGACTGAATTGTTTTTCCATGTCGGCATGAGCTGAAGGTAAACTAATATTCGAATGAACTTCCTCATACTGTTTGATACATCAAAATGATTTCTTATTGGTTTCTAAAAACACGCTTTCAATTTCTGCAATACAAGGCTGAATACCAAATTTATAGTAAAATAAGGTTGAAAAGCAATTATTTAAACCTGAAACTAAAGCATATTCTTGTTAAAACGTACAAGTGATTTGACAATGTACATTATTTTATTTCTTGCCATTTATAATACGATAAAAAAGGTGGTTTGTATTATTTTTGAAAATTGTGCTTGAAGAATAATTACGAAATACAAAAGGTTACTGATTATTGTCAAAAATAAATCAGTAGAGGAAAAGGTTTTGATAAAATTCAGTGAAAATATATAAAATTTTATGGTCGCACTTAATGAAACACAGAAGCAAAGAAAACAAAGGAATGTAGTAAACAGCCAATACATAAAACCTAAATCGTTATCACATTAAATGTATATGCACTATACATTATGTCAAAAATAGAATTTGATTTACAGGAGGAGGGTTTTAGAACAATACAAATCAGAAGGTTTCGAGAGGATGGGGCCCATCAAGTGGTCTCTAGCTTTATGCGTATTGGCCGTCTTCCTCCTTGTTTATTTTTCATTGTGGAAAGGAGTTAAGTCTACAGGAAAAGTAAGTAATACTCTTTTTCTTCTATTTCTCAAAAAATGTAACGAAAAATTATTGTGAACTATTTTAACTGTGTTCAGAACTACTGTTAAAAGGACAAATAGTTTAATTTGAGTTAGCAAATATATTTCCGACCCTATCGCTATGTTGTGAACGATGTCGATTGGCAGAAAATCTTTCTTAATAGAGTATAAAATCTGATTTTTACATAACAATTTTATTTCAATGAGTAGATTTGTGTCGAGTTGGCTGGAAGGGTTTTGCACTGCGACTATCAGGCCCGTACTATGACAATGACAAGATGCAACGCTACGCGATGGAAATCCAAAGTCCAAATTTCCATAAATTTGTATTACCCCCGTGCACATCTGCCCGATGCCATGCATCGCTACCCTACTCTACGCTCTGCGATCCCCACTTTTCGTCGTGTAGCATCGAGTACAGCCGAAGACAAAAGAACCGGACACTCATATTTTTATTCAAACTACATGTATCATTGTCGTTGTACTAATTACAACAAACTTATTTTAATATAAACCAAATTAACCGAGTTCAAAAATTCATTAGTTTTTTTTAAAAAAGAAAACAATTTGGTTTGGTAGAAAATTGATCAAAACACAGAAATACCATTTTTTAATAGAATGAATTTAACTAACAATTTATTACACGGTTTTGCTCATAAAATTACACCGTTTTCGTCGAGTAGCGTCAGAACACACTCATATTTTTTGTATTTTATTTCAAATTATGTATCTGTAATTTTGTCCTTATATTAATTACAACATTCTTATTTTAATGCAAACCAAATTAAACGAGATTAAAAATTCACTAGTATTTATTTAAAAAAATGAATTTTAACGGTTTGGCAGAAAATTTTTCAAAACACCGGAATAACTTTATTTAAAACAATTAAGTTTAAGAAATAATTTATTACATGGTTGTGCTCATAAAATTTAACTAACAATTTATTACAAGGTTTTGCTCAAAATAGTGCATTAAGAACAAAAGGAACGTTGCGATTGTGGTAGTGATTATTGTGATACATGCTGTGGACTGTACGTAGCATGCGCTTGACGTCGAATAGAAGTGCACTCCCTACCGAAACGTGACAAGGCGTCGGGTAGCGACGCATTGCGTTGCATCGGGTAAGTGTGTTTCTCGCTTTATTAGTTTTGTTATAGTAGATGATGGGGTTTGGTCTGCGAGTTGGCGAACTCATGTTGAACCGGCACACGGGCACTACTGGGTCTGTCTTCACTCGCGGGTTTTTGTTTGAGTTATTCAAACGCGTTTCGGCATTTCGCCATCTTCAGTGAAAAACTGTCTGTCATTCAGTCTGAGTGGGGTTTATATAGTGTTGCGTCCGTCGCTTGTCGCTGGGGGCGTTGCGTTAGGGGGCGTGGTCTCCGTGCTCGTTGGTCGGTCTTGGTGGCGGTTATTTTCATTGTCAGTTATTATTTGTGCGTTGTCGGTTTTTTGTTTTTTCCTGGTGTTGGTTGCGATGTTTTGTTCTTCTGAACGTTTTCGTTTTTTGTTATGGAGTGTTTTTAGTGGTGTGAAGGTGGTGTGTGATTGTGAGTTTGTTTGTGCGTTTATAAGTTTTCCGTCTTTAAGTGTTATTTGTTTGTATATCTCGAGGTTCTCCAGTATGTTTAGTTTTCGTCCTTTTTGTGCGTTGTGTATTAATGTCATGCTTGTTTCTATTGTGTTTGGTTCGTGGTTGTAGTGTATTAAGTGTGTGGCGTAATTTGATTTTCCGTCATTGTCTCTGAAGGATCTAAGATGTTCTTTGAATCGAAAGACGGAAAACTTAGAACTCAGTTTGAAAATTTAGAAATAGGTTCTGGTTCATTGGCTTTCCTTGGGTATTTTCATTGGCTTGCTTGTCAGATTTTTCGTAAACCTCCTGACCTACGTGCCCGGGAATCCAGTCAAAGTAGATTTTGTTTTAAATTAGTGTATGTCTATATAAAGGCCTAAGTCGGTTTACTAGAAGCTTTTTAAGGACTCTTTAAGATTCCTTCCGGCCTGGGTTTTCCTTTCCCAGGCGTAGAAAGAATGAAGAGTGCGTGCGCCTAGGTTTAAAATTACGCCCTAAGTCTAATAGTTCTGTTGTTGGTTTTTCTAATGCCCTTTTATAAATGTCATTCATGCCTAAGTCCTGGTATACAGTCTCACTTTTTTACCGGATTTAATTTTTTTACGATGAATCTGCGTTTTTGGCAATTTGGTGTGCCGAAAGGGTGTGTCCCGGTATGGTACGGTATAAGGATATTAGGATTGTGCTCTCCAGGCTTCGCAGCCTTCTGGCTTATTTTACCGTCCTAGTTCTTATGTTCAGTGCAATAGAGTAAATCCTTCTCCTTAGAAGTATCAGGTCATTGACTGTCGCTGCTACAATTTGATTTCCTAAATTTTTTTCGTATGTTAGGTTAAATCTCCATTGAGCTGTTGCTTCGCCTTCGAAGATGATATGGGTGGGTGTTTCCTCCTCCTCATTACATAATCTGCTGATGGGATCATGTTGTGTAGATTTTTCTTAGATGTAACTGACGGTTAGTAGTCCTTCTCTCTTCTGAGTTTAGCTCTCTCCAATTGCAGCAGTGATTTTGCTAGTCTTGGTGAGGGTTGTTTCATCATAAGTTTACTTTGTCTAGCGCCGCTAGATTTTATCCACTTCTCCTTTTGTTTTGTTCGGATCCACTCAGCGATGGAGGATTCTATTTTTGTTTTTGTTATCCCAAGTAAGGTTCGGGGCCTATGTATGGTCTTGCAGGTCCTCTGGCCAATCTGTCTGCGTTCTCGTTACCCAAAATTTAAAGTCTTTTACCTGCTTATGTTTTGTGGTGTTGTTCCACCGGGTCTCTTTAACTTTTTAACTTAATCTATTCGGCAATTATTTCTATTTAGTTTGAAATTTTGAAACAAAATTTTGTCCTTGTCCCTAGGACTCTGTTTCAGGCAATTTAATCTGTTCATATTTCTCCAAGTGTGGAGTTCCATATTGTTTTCCTTCTTAATTCAGGTGAAGCCAGGGCTTTAAGTGCTGCGTGACCAGCGGGGTCGATGACTTAGTTTTAACTTTTTATACTTAACTTTGTAATTTTCTTAATATGTAGCTCAGTGTTCAGAGTTTTCAAGCTGAATCGGGCAAATTATACAAGATAAATTATCATTCGGACTAGTTGTCAAACAATTATTCTCCCAACAATGTATTCTTTAGTTAGTATGGTTAAGCATGAAATGAAGCTGGGTCGACAGGTAAAGGGGAGCCGTAATACTCTGCAGGGAAGTAAGAACCAGCAAGAGATCCTAATCGACGAGAGTGCACAGCACATTCGCTTATCTTGACGTGGCCTTGTCGGCACTTGGATCATTTCGCCTCTCGCTTACGTTTCAAATTCAATTGTTCCGACCACCTTGACTCTTTGAATATAAATTTCAAATCTACCCAGGAGTCTATGCATCGATTAACAATTGCTTTGACATTCCAAAGGGAAAATGATAAATAAAAGAATTTTCCAAATGGCCGGGAAAAAACCCGGACTGATTCTTACCTTCCATTAAAAGCTTTGCCAATAGAATACACAGTCGTCGTTAAGTGGCTACAACTAGGATTTCCTTTTAAAAGAAAACGGGCTAATTAAGAATGCTAAAAGCCGGCGAGAAAAGGAAAAGAAACGAGGAAATATACTTTCACTGTTTTTCACTGGCAGTCACGTATCCACTTATCCAAAATGCCGTCCAGTTTTGATAGGAAATAAATATTTCACACCAGTCTATACCGCAAAACTGAATTAATTAGTTTTCCCTATATTGTAAAATAGTTTTTTTTATTATTATTTATTTTTATTACAATCTGTAATTATTATTTACAATATGTAATTTGCGGATACATGAACTTATGTACAACTATTTACATTGAGGGGAGAAAATAAACAATGTTATCCTCCCTTATTGCGGGGCCATTTCCTCTTAAGACGCCTTATGGGGTTCGGTAAACGAGACAGGATATACTTGACCTCGGCGGAAGTGACGGCTTTCGGAGGGAGTGACATAGGAAGGTGAGATATAAGGTATTCGTCAATATCTGCTTCCATTGAAGCATTGCCGGGCTCAGGATGAGGAGTGAAGGTTTCTTGGAGATGTCGAGCAAATATATCGGCTTTTTCTTGGTCAGATTTGGCCCATGATACATTGTCTCGACGGAGGGGAAAAGATGGGACGTGGTGTTTTAGGATTCTTCTCGTTGCTGTCCAGAGTAATTTATTAGAGGTCGTAAGGTTGGATAGGTAGGAGTTAAAAGCTTTGTTGCGGTAGATTTTTAATTCTTTTTTTGGCTAAGCGGGATAATTGATTAAAGGATTGATGGTCGGAAGGATGCCTTGATATCTGCCACGCTGCTCGGGCTTGGCTTTTAGGTGCAGGAGGTTCGCAATGTATGATGAGAGGGGTTTGGATAGTATGGGGGTTCTGGGAGGACTGGAGAGGAGTGACATCCTGACCGCCTGCTGAATGGCAGTGGTGAAGAGATTCACAACCTCGTCCAGCTCTTCTGGGTTTTTTAAGTAAATGCTTAGATCGATGGAATTTTCTATTTGGGTGCGAAAGGCGTTCCAATCTATGGAATTCCAACGATTAGAGATTCGGGATTTGGTTTTGGAATTGGGAAGAGGGATATGTTTAGGAGAATGGGACTATGGTCTGAGGAGAGATCGTGGAGGGTAGTTATTGAGGTATGCAGAGGTCCGAGGTAAATAGTTTTTAACGCATCAAATAACAATTTTATATATTTTTATTACCTTTAGCACTTAGCCGATTGTTCATAAACATCAATGCAATGCATTTTGTAAATAGTTGTTATATCTACACTGCTCTCTCGGTAATCCACACTAAACATTTCAGGGGTTTACGTATTTCTGAAAAATTCAGATTACAGAGGGTGTTAAAAAAATAGATGTATATTTACAAGAAAAATTCTATCACAAAACAACATACACACAATATAAGGAATTGAATATATGTACTGTAAACCTTCTTTAAAAAAACAGTGTTATTAAATTTTTTTAAGATTTTCTTTATTCCTTCTTCCCATTGTTGTCTCACAATTAAGTAGTATGTATATTATACTTAAAATGTTGAATTATAACACATTTCATAGCGAGGGAAGTGAGGGATTCACTGCAAAAAAGCTATTTTCGAAACTTTTAACAGTACAAACTGGTCCCACCCAGGGTGGTCTCCAACCCTTACTACCACACTATCTCTCTCACTCACACCTTTTTTCTTTCTCTCTCTTTCTGTCTGTTTGTCCCCCTCTCTCTCTCTCTCTCTCTCTACCCCTCCCTTCCCCCTAAATAATGTTTCATTCTTTTACAATTCTAACTTCTTTAATTTTTTTCCAATTCGCGTTACTGGAATGTTCGGAGTACCGGAGTTCGGATTATGGAGAGAGAGCACTATTAATTTTTAATCTAGTGGCAAATTTTGAAAAATACATTTCTCTTTAGACAGCATTAGCCTTACTGGTGGTCGAGTTGCATCTGGCTTTGCTCAGCATTGTTTTTTTGTCCTATTCTTTTATTTTCAGGCAGTCTGGGTGACGGCGTTGCTTCCTTACATTGTTCTGATGATCCTCCTAGTCCGTGGCGCATCGCTGCCAGGGGCTGACAGAGGCATCACTTACTACCTCACGCCTCAATGGCATAAACTCTCGGATACAAGGGTATGCTCATCGACATGTTTAATATCCATAGTTCTTAATTTTAAGTTTATCCTTGAATATTTCACGAATTATTGGTGAAATAATAATTAATAAACATTTATGATCAGTTGGCCAAAATACATCGAGCTTTCCATGATTTTGTCTATGGCTTGTAGTCTTCTTGCGTTTTAGGAGGAAATGCAAATCTACAAATTCTACTCTAATTGAAGCTACATTTTAAAATTACTATGGGTTATTTCAATAAACAACAAGCAAGCATAAATTAATCATTTTTAATTGATGGTAATTTACACGTAGTGATGAACACCCCTTATATAAATAAAATGGTAGAACTCAACACGACTAACACACTAAAAATCAGTATTAGTAACCAATGAAAAATTAAAAATGACTACAATAGCATAGAAAACGGTTAAAAGATACGGTAGACAGAATAAACAAAATAATAAACAAAACCCAAACACAAAACAAACTTTAAATGGACTACATTTACATTCAGAGTAATAAAAACAAACTATGAAACATAATTAATTCATTAAATCCATAAACCATTAAAAACAAAAAATTAAATCCGTTAACAAAACACAGGCGAACCAACCCAGTTGATAGAAATGGCCTAAAACTATTGGGAAACCTAACCAGATAGACAGGACTAAAATTAAAGAAATATAGAAAGGATGTTCATTTAGGAACAACAAGGAAACAAAAACTTCACAAGTTACCTTAAGTTTAGAGTTAACAGTAACAAGTTAACCATAAGTTTAGAAAATGCTTCTTGATCAACAAAAACGAAGATAAATAAGCATACTTGAAACCCTGGAAATATAGAGAAACACTACAATTCTTCAGGAAGTAAACCGTTATTGCAAGTTGACAATTTACAGATATCATTTACACGACTGAAAACACGACATAAAATCAATAGAAAACGAATCGGCAAAAAAATCTTCAGAGATGCTAAGAAAACGAAAACAACCAACCAACTTTCACTACCGAATAACTACTAATACTATATATAATTAAATTCACTAATTTCGTGGTCCGCTTGACCAATTAATATATTACAATTAATTAAGGTTTTTAGTTGAGATAAAAAAGTCAATGGCACGAGCGGGATTCGAACCCACGATCTTCGGCTAAATACGCCGCTGCTCTACCACTTGAGCTATCGTGACCTCGATCCTCTCGGACATCAACTTCCTATCTCAACCCCACCTTTGAGTTTTCCCTCCTTTTTGCCATTTTTCCAAATTCAAAATTCAATTGACTTTTTTATCTCAACTAAAAACCTTAATTAATTGTACTATATATACTATACAATGCCGAAGAAGGTCTAACATACGAAAATAGCGAGACTAGGTAGTCCAGGATCAATGGCTCATCTATATGGAAATTTTACACCTCTTCCGAAATGTGTACATTATAAAACGGGGAAAATCTGATTGAATTATTTTGCATTCGAACAAATTCAATAAAAATGATAATCATTTCAAATTTGTTAAATTATTCTTATTTGATTTTTTGTGTGCTTTTTAAAAGTCAATTGATTCTTGAGTTTTTCGTAGTACCTTATCGTAAAAGGTTTCAAGTAAGAATTTTGATTTTCTTAGCGAACATTTTGAATATTGATCACCGGACTTTAAGAAAAAGCTTTCAAATTACCTTTCAGTTCACAAACTTGATCCCAGTTATGATCGGATTCGGCCTAGATAAACAACATTAAATTGCCAAACGTTTGAGTTGGGACTTCAAACACTCGACTTAGCGTAAGTTTTATCATGGTGATCATTCTGACCGTTGTCGAGGGGATTTTTGTGTCAGGTTTGGATCGACGCAGCCTCGCAGATATTTTTTTCTCTCGGCCCAGGGTTCGGTACTCTGCTCGCCCTCTCCAGCTACAACAAGTTCCACAACAATTGCTACAGAGACGCCATCCTCACGTCGACCATCAACTGCCTCACATCTTTGCTAGCCGGATTTGTAATTTTTTCGGTCCTCGGGTACATGGCTTACGTCCAAAACACGACAGTCGACAAGGTCGGACTCGAAGGTGCGTCCAAAGATTTTTTATAATCTTGAGATTGAATTGTATTAAACAGTTTAAAAATTGGATAATCTTTTGATCTTTAGGTCCAGGTCTTGTCTTCATCGTGTATCCAGAAGCTATTGCCACCATGACCGGCAGCGTTTTCTGGTCAATAATCTTTTTCTTAATGCTCATTACTTTAGGTAAGTAAACCCGGATTTAAAAGTAATACTTGTGTAACATATTTAACTATATTGCATAATATTCTCTTTTCATAGTACACTTTTGTATAGGTTTATAATTTTAATAATAAATAATAAAATTTATAATTTTATATTAAAAAATGAGAGATAAAACCATGTGGAAAGAAAACATCAGTTTTCTTGTCGATAAATGTATAGTCTTCATCAGAGCTGTGACACTACAATTAATAATTTACAAGTTTAACAAATATGAATATTATAAAATGCGATTAAGATTTGAATTTTCAACGAACGACATCACCAATCGATCCGATATCAGAATCAGAATATCCACGGTTATCCTGCACAGTACAGCCAACAAACATGCCCATTTATTATAAATCGACCCCCCCCCCTGGGCTAATCCCTATGATAGAGTTATGGCCAATTGGTAATAACAAAGGCCAAAAGAGAGAAATTGTTGTCTCAGTAAATAGGTTTGTGAGTTATTGGAGCTTACAAGTAGACAAGTGGAATTCTAATATTGACTTGTTTGAATTGTCTAAAAAGGAAAAAAATACGCACTTATCTCATTTCACTTACGACATTTTTACCAAAGGGTGTATAGATGGTGAATCAACTTCTATAATCACTATGAGTTAAATTCTTGATTTTTTTGTTTTCCCTTTTTTATTATGTTAAACATTGATATGAGAATGGTAGAGTTTCGCAGAGAATCTTCGATTCATTTATTCCAGGTCTTGAAGAATACAGGCGTATTTCTTTATATGTAGATTGCTTTTATTGCAGTTAATCTTATTATTGAATATGTAAAAAAGTTTGGTGATAGGTGCTGTATCGCGAGAATGTATTTATAAGCGGGAATGCATGTACGTTTTGTAGTACAAGAGAGTTGATGGCTGAATATCAAATACCGAAAGACCATTAATTTGACTCGTTTACAAGTTTGTAATGCTCTCCAAAGATTTTTTTTTTATAATTTGTAGTACATTACAACTACCTTAAAGAAGGTAATAAGTAACAGTGAGCAAGGTAATTAAAACAAGACAAAATGAAAAATCAAGAGTGGAGAAAACACCCATTGGTATTACTCCAATGTTACAATAATATTGTTTGTTCAATTGGTACGAGTGTCATTATCACTTTTACTGTCATCACCATCACTTCCTAGGAGATCTCGCGGCCATTGTCTCTTCAGTCGGCGGGGAGGGTTTGAGGGGATTCGTCGGGATGAGAGGTTTCTGATGTGTTGGTTTACGTTAGTTGGGAGGTTTTTATGAAATTTACGGTAACGGAAACGTATTTCATCTTGTGCGAAAGGAATATGTAAATCTGTATGTGTAGTTTGGTTCGATACATAAAATGGAGCATCTAGTATTTTTCGTAGTATTATAGACTGGGCAGTTTGAATGCGGTGGATATTGGAATGTTTGGCTGAACCCCACACTTCCAGTCCGTAAGTCCAAATCGGCTTAACTATGGTGTTGTAAAGCAGCCTTTTATTTTTGAGAGGTAAATTAGAGCGTTTGTCAAGAAGTCGTGCAAGAATTCTAAGTCGTGCAAGAATTCTAAATCGTGTCATAACCTCCTGACGTTTTAGTCTTGTGTGAGGATTCCACGTCAGGCGTCTGTCGATGTACAATCCGAGGTACCGCACCTTGTCCGCAGTTGGGAGGGGAGTATTGTTTAAGAAAACAGGGGGGGGGAAGATCTTTTTACGAAGAGTGAAGGTATTGTGGGTGGATTTTTCTGTGTTAAATTTTATCCTTTTCTTTTTACACCAAGACTCTAGTAGTATGATGTGTTGTTGGAGGTTTCGAGTGGAAATGACAAGATCGGAGTTGCTGGAGAAAATTGCCGTATCGTCCGCGAATGTGAATGTGGTGGTTTCGGGATGAGATGGCATGTCAGCTGTGAAAACCTGGTACAGTGTAGGGGCCAGAACGCTACCCTGAGGGACACCAGCATGGATAGGAAAATATGAAGAGAGGGAATGGCCTTCGATGACTTAGAAGAAAGTCCAAAGATTTAAAAATGTAAAAGTACAAACATGGTTTACATTTAGAATTTTCGAAAGGGACCAAAAGTGTCGTACATTAACTAAAAAATATTGTGGGAATTTTAAGATTGAGAGACAGAAACAAGGGGAGGACCAATGAAGGTTGGGATGTTTTTAATTTTAGGCGAATCGAATATTTTTTCTGTCGATTTTCTTAAAATTACTAGATATATTTTAGTATGTTTTTCAAGTTTTTAAGAAGATCAACAAAGTAATGGTGATGGAGTTGCTTGATTAAATTTTGCTGATATTCAATTAGCCAATATTGATCGATTTTTTAAAATAATTGTATTTGATTTTGTTTACGCAAGATGCTCGTTATATAGGGCATCGGCCATATTTCATTTTTCCCTCCAAAAAGCACTATGCACATAACATTTGCGGGGGGGGGGTGAAAGTCGGAAATGAGAACGGTCGGACCATTCATTATAACACCGCCTCGCCCTGACTCTTGTATTCAGAAGATTACTTCTGATGGAACAATTCAAATATTTGTCGGCTTGGTAGAGAGCTCGCAACCCTCACCCCACCAGACACTCAGTGAATTTTTTCCACCACAGGGAAACACCGCCGGTCTCAAACCACTGTCAGTGAAATGGTCGATTGTCTCTGTCGACCTTTTAGGTAAACCGCTGTCAAACATTTAACTATCTCTTTTAACCGTCGGTTCTTCTCGTCCCGGTTCAACGAGCCTGTCGAATAAATATGTTTACACGTTCTTATGAATTTTAAAATATTTGCCCCTCTTTACGGGAAATTTACAATCCTGATTGTTTCGCTCGATTTTCTAATCTTTCTCCTATACGTGACTGTTATAATGCAGAAACATCTTCTGAGATCAAGGTGTCAGATAGTTCGTTCTTGGTATGTCATCTCAGCAATGATATCAGCTATTGACAACTGAAGCTCAACAGTTCTAAGAATCACCATCACCGTGGCAATTTTCAATCTAATGTCATATAATTAAAAGAAGCCAGTGAGAGGATAATGATTTAATAGAAATTACTCGAATGAAAATATACAATATTTAAAAATTCATTAGATTTCGTGGTCCGATTCACCAAACAACATCATTCAATTATGAAGTTTTTCGGTGGATCTACGGAAGAGGTCAACACAGAGAAAAAAACTTCCTTTCAGTTTTCGCCGAGCTTTCGACAGCTTTTATACTGTCATCTAGGGCTCGACCACGTTTTCCTTGTACAGTTGTAATTTTTTAATTGTTAACTTATTAAATTTTGAATAACGTTTAGATGCTGAGCACCAAAAAACGTAATGTACTTCGGTGCCCACGACACCATGTTCCTTTTTATTTCCCCATTAAGGTTAAAGTAAGATATATCAAATTGTTAATTTTTGTGCAATTGTTTTTTCATGGTTTTAATTGTTGTTTTTATATGATAATAAAACAGGCCCTGAAGATGACAGTATAAAAACTGTCGAAAGCTCGGCGAAAACTGAAAGGAAGTTTTTTTCTCTGTGTTGACCTCTTCCGTAGATCCTCCGAAAAACTTCATGTTTCCAGCAGGTCGATAACCCAGCTCATCGTTACATCATTCAATTAATTAATCTTTATTTAAGGTATTGGTTGAGATAAAAACGTCAGCGTCATGAGCGGGATTCGAACCCACGACTTTCGGCTAAATACGCCGCTGCTCTACCACTTGAGCTATCGTGACTTCGATCCACTCGGACACTAACTTCCAAATAGAATCAACTAGATTACACAACATTTGAAAAATGGCAAAAAGGAGGGAAAATTTGAAAGGTTGGGTTGAGATGGGAAGTTAGTGCCCGAGTGGATCGAAGTCACGATAGCTCAAGTGGTAGAGCAGCGGCGTATTTAGCCGAAGGTCGTGGGTTCGAATCCCTCTCGTGACGCTGACTTTTTTATCTCAATCAATACCTTACATAAAGATTAATTAATATTTAAAAAATTGCCATTATTGTGAGTGTGAAAGTAATTCATCTTAATTTTCTAACTATAGTTAATCATCATCGTGTTTTGGCTTGGTTGTTGAGAAAGCTGTAGAGTAATGCAAATATTTTAGCAGAAAGTTCATCAAAGAAATGATACATATGAGTAGGGATGAAAGCTTTCGTAACTGTATAAAATATATAAAAAGTATTTTTAGTCGTATATGCAGGGTGTATCAACTTCTATAGTCCACCCATTTAATTCGGAAACGGTTAACTTTAGCAAAAATTGGTCACATGCAAACCCCAGGTTAATTTGGGCTATGAATCGCGTGGTGCTAACGGATAACGTAACATTCTCATCTAGCTGGGAAATGACAGTAACTTTGTCATTTTAAATTAGAATCCCATATTTTTATTGAACAATTCGATTCTAGTGCTTATTTTATGACACTTTTACTGAAAGGAAAATTTTGGTAAGATCGACCATTTTTGAGTTATACCAAAAGAGTGTTGAAATGAAAATTAATTTTAAAAATGTGAAGAACAAAAACAATTGAAAGAATAATGGGAAGAAAATGAATTCCAAGTCGTATTTTTGGGATCCGGACTTCCAAACAGCTACGATAGTGATGTATTTTCGAAAATTGATTTTGAACGCACCAAATAAGGAAAATTTTGGACTAGAGGGTTGGCAGAGTACAAGAAAACAGAGGTTTGCCAAGTGCTGTTCAAAAACCGCGGGGCGAATGGTTTTTGGGAAAGGACCGAATGGGATTAGGGATAATCCGTGCCCAAGCAGGTGGCATCACAATTATTATTTAAAAAAAATATTCGCAAGTAATATGCCGCGTTGTTCTATGGCTCAAGGAAGGCTACGAAGAACCAAATTTAAATTTTCTTTTTGAAGATCCATTCATCGCGTTTTTTTCAGTTTTAATTTTGATAGAAAATTTTGCTAATTAAATAAAGACTCTTATAAAGATTAATAAAATTTATAAAGTTGTAAACGGGTGTTTGAATAACAAGAAAAATAAATAACTAAATCTATAAAAAATTATTATATAGAATTTATTTTAAAAATGACATGTGAATAAATTTTTAATTATTAAGATTATTTTATTACTTTTCCCTCCAAAATTGAATCAAATTGGACTTTATGATATTTATAAATAAATTTTAAAATACGGATATTGTTTGGCGGTCGTTTGTAGAAAAATAAAATCTCACACAGTTGGCCTGGCCTGCTCCAGCTATTTTTAAATTTTATTGTAATGATCAACGTGTTGCTAACTGAACGCTTATCAAGAGCAAAAAAAAAAACTGATTTAATCGGCCAATTTAATCAATCATTTCAAGGCTATTTCAAAAATATTGCAACGATTTGTATTCAGCAGTTTTGCTCTATTATTTTTGACTTGACTTCAATTGAATCACAATCAGCTCATAATTTCAATCGATTTACACTAAAGAAAGATTTCTCGTAGATGACTTACTAAAAGCATTTCTTCCTAAAATATGAACCGTTTTCAAAATCCACATTCCATTTGAATTCATTATACGCTTTTACTGACACATTCCCACCTTAGATAAGTAACATGCAAACATGTTTCTTTAGATTAGGAAAGGGTCAATTGTTAGTCGACCACCATGAATGGATGGCTAATGACGTCCCTTTTGACTAGAACCGCAACACAATTGACGTCTTCACTAGGATAAATCTAATAAACTAACTATGATACGTCTTAATGGGTATTAGCTCAAAGTAGGTTCTAGTCGTCTCAACTTGTAGTCTAAACGTAAAGTACAATTACACGGAATTATATCGGCTGATATATCAAGACCGGCGAAGCGGCACAAGCCCCATTTAGAATTGAGAGAAGAAAGTTGCCGCTTATCTTTTCATAGATAATAATTCTCGGTGAACTGGCTCAAGATTCTTTAAGGTGACAAGGCAGACTTTCATGGAATGACCGTTGTCTTTTGTAAGCCCCTTTTTAAACTTTATGCAAAGTACAATAAGAAAACACTTTTCGACGCGAATAACGACCCCTGAACTCGGTACTTGGTGCGTTTAATTAACAAGAAATGCAAATATTGATTTACATTTAAATAATTATTACTCTTGTTAATTTTTTCACGCATTCCAGCATAATATTACGCTTATTCCACCTAAATAAAACAGTAAGTCAGTACACGAGAGATTAAACGTTTACCACGTTAAAACATTTATTTTTCTATCTCTTAGAGTCAAGACAGATTATGGCTGATTGAGCCTATACATATTTGTAAATATTACAAATGTGACCACGTTTTGTTTTTTCACATGGTCACAGCACTTACACTAATGCTAGTGCTGCACCCGGAGGACACATGCCCTCGGAAATGCTGGCACTAAGTGTGAGGGATTAAGGGGAGATATCGAGGCCATCGTCGGGATGGGGATGTGTAGAGAGATCTCGAGCAGTATGGTTATGGTTATGATGGAACGAGGGTTGATGTGAAACTTTTGGAATTAGTGACGTAATAAGTAGCTGACGATTTGTCTGGTGACGTTTGATTGGAAGGATTTTATGCGCTGAATGTTGGATGGACTGGCAGAACCACACAATTCTACCCTGTCTGTCCGAGTTGATCGCTGTAAAGTCTTGCTTAAGGTTAATTCAATGTGGACGGTCAAGACGGATTTCATTCCTAGAACTCTTTGTAGTTAAGTTGTTATCTCTTAAGTATGAGGAATTCTACGTCAGTCCGTTGTCTGCGTATAGTCGTCATTCCCGACTGGAGCACTCGGTGACGATATGAAGCTAAATGAATAAAAAAGCCGGCACGTGACGTTCACAGGTAGAAGAGGTATCTGTTCATTAATGGTTAACTGAGGTAATCCTTTAATCAAATCTGCTACCTTGAGTTTACTTAAACAGCAGACTTACATGGAACGTACACACACAACAAAAAAAAACAAGAACTGAACTGAAGATAAGGACAACTCACACGCCTACTCGGACCCAAATTGTCAATGAGTACACACAACAAACTAACCGTATACCGGACACACTAATTGGACCAATTTGGACTTACGGAGTCGAGCTGTGATGTTCAACCAAGCCATCCATCATCCAAAGAATCCGGTTCTTTCAATCAAGAATCCTCCGCCGCATCCTTACTGCTCCCTTCTATATCGCTAATCAAACCATCCAAAAAATACATAAACATCGATTCGTGACTTGATCCAAACGCAATTCCTCAACTTCCACTCTAAGCTCTCCTCCCACACCAATCCACTAGTTCAAGCCCTCCCTTCAACTTTTAATCCTAACAATCCTTCACGCCGCCTAAAAGACAGTGACCTCTTAAACCCCCCCCCCCCCAACCCAGACCTAAACTTCGTCTCACCAGTGACCGGCTCCTCTCCCCCATGGTCTGCCAGATCCTTCACTAACAACAAATTGTTAAAAGTGTAAATTTTTTTGTACAGACAATAATGCTAAATAAAACTAATAAAAAAAGGCTTCAATGTAAGTCGGGATCTCTTTGTTGTTGACGTACAGGCTGCTTTTTCAACTTGATCGTACACTGAATACATTTTTCTTCATTCAGTCTTGTCCTCCACTTTTTGCACCAGCCTTCGAAAAGCACCAGGTATTCTTGGATGTTGGAGATAGCTTGGATAGGATTCGAGTTAGAGGACAAAATTGCAGTACCGTCCGCATAGGTAGTGATGATGGTACATAAGTCAGTAGTATAGATGATATAAAGGATGGGACCAAGAATGTTCCTTGTATCAGTCTGATTTCCGAAAACTCTTTGACGCACCTACCCTGAAGCAAGTCTGTTAGATAGGATTTCAGCATGAGATACGGCAAATAATTTAACTTTAAGAATCGCAAGCGTCAATCCCCCGTGTATATAACTTTTTTAAGTGAAACAAGACAATTTATTCTATTTTTAATGTTGCTGCTTTAAAATTTGATACCAAAAATATAAAAGATATTGGCTGAAATTGCTCAAATGTGCGTTTGGCTGAAACGATTTACATATAAACATTAACGCAGTTCCGTTATGTTATAACTGGAGCTTCATACGTGATTGTGCTGTTAATGCCGATTGCCACACCTTTGACGGTAACAGTTCGGTTTACGGAATACCAAAGCGCAATTAGTTTCAGCCGGAAAATTATTCTCATGTTCCTCTGTATGCCAAACCGTTTGACGCTATGTTCAAAGAAAATCATCACACGACACTTAGTCAAGAAAATAGATCTAAAATAAAAAAAAGACTTGAGACGTTTTTGAAGTAAATTGGATGGAACTGCTGGGTTCGAAGTATAGATAATATATCTAGACAAACAAATTAATTTTAAAAATTGTACATTATGGTTGATCGTTATTTACTGATTTTTATAAGTAAATAATTTTACAATAAAGAAATATAAATTTAAGGTTTGTATTATTTACGTAGCAAAAACAGCATCCTTCACACCAATAATGGTGAGCGCGAACGAACTATCTATAGTTTCTACGAATAGACTCATTTTATATACATATTTTACAGATAAAAAACTTATAAAGTCATAAATAATTGAATTTATGTGCTTGTGCCAATGCTGTTGCGTTGGAAAATTTTAATATAAGTTAAACTGGCAAAAATCCTCATAAGATCGGATAGGCAAACAGCCATAAAAGCATTAGCATATAAAAAGACACATTAAAATTAGTCAATGTTTGCATCAAAATATCTCCAAAACCTACGGAAATACATCCACCTGATAATAACATAGGTACCGGGGTACTAGGACACATGAGAGTTTTGAGTAACGAAAAAGCAACGCAGCCAGAGGAGGATCTGAATGTCCATATATAGGTCCTGAACCTATTATTGGAATAACAAAAAATAAACAAAATCCTCTATCACAGAATGGATGCAAAAAGACAATGCAAGTGATTCATGTCTGACAATGAGACGTGGGTAAACTCCAGGGGATGTAAACATATCAAACTTCGTCCCTGGCACCTGAGAAAACATCTACTCAAAAGGGTATATCCGATAATGATTTTATTTTTATATTAAGCAATGACAAGGAAGAAACAGCCACCTGTATCATCTTCGAGTGCGAACCAACCGCTCAATGGAGACATAACTTGGGATACAAAAAGAAAAGCAAGAGAAAGTAACTGTAGTAACGACAGTCAATGACTTCAAAGGAAAAGGATGGAATTGAAAGGCTGAACCAAGGAACTAGGACAGTACAATGATCCAGAAGGCTGCAGTGCTTGCAGAACATAAACCCCTACTTCTAAATCTCCTATCTTCACCATCACTACTATTGTAAAAAAATAGAAGTTACATGTTTGTTACAGTCTGTTTTCTATAAATTTTCCATTTTATATATTGAAACAACCTTTTACTTATCGATTAATTTAAAAATTCAATATATTGATTCGATTTTTTACTTATCCCAGGATTGGACAGCACCTTTGGTGGGATGGAAGCTATGATTACAGCACTGTGCGACGAGTATCCCAGATTGCTCGGGAGGAATAGAGAGTTGTTCGTCGCAGTTCTGCTCATCGGCGTCTACATCTGTGCCCTGCCCACTACGACATACGTATGTACACTTTTTCCGTCAATTCGAGCATATCACACTGCTTATAAACCGTATTGAATGTTTTGTTTGTTTATTAAAAGAGAAATTTTGTTGTTAAGTATGCAGATAGTCAAGGCACTGCAATGCCATAATAGGGTGTATAAAACTCATGATTCAATACCACTAGTATTCGGCTAGTATGTAATTTCCACAGTGGTACCACTCTTTGGTATGGGTTGTCGATTTCTTACACAGCAATTTTATTGTCTGCAAAATTGTTAATTTTATCTTACAAGGAGTGAAGTCAGGACTATATGGGAACGAAGAGGAAGGTTGATTTTGTGAATGTCGTTTAATTTTCGTAAGTCCAACTCTGGGGTTGATCAGGCCGAGTGTTATCTTGCTGGAATATAACGCCTTTGCAGTTGTCGTAAAACTGTTGCATTTTCTCTTATATTCTTTCTAACTGTTCCCAGTAGAGTTCAGAGTTTAAAGAAAATCTCGAGCCACAAAATAGCATAAATTATTCATCTTGAAGCAACTGACAAACCTTTTGATGTGAATTAGCCATTGCCCTATATCAAGATTGCACTTGTAAACCAGTTTTTCATCACACGAGACACACAGTTCTTTGTTTAAAAACATTGTAAGTTAGTACCTACAGTTAGGATGTAATTACGGGGGCGTCTAGTCAACTGCTAGATTCCTCCTTCTCCAAGTTACGTGGTAGGTGGTAAAACCTAGGAGTAGTCTTAGAACAAAACCTTTCCTAGCATTCCCACATTTCCCAAATTTCCCGCCATTCCATCGCCTCCCTCAGCCTGTTCCGTCGGTCCTGGCTTCTCTTACCTAAACTCCTTGTATCTTTCCTTATACTTCCCTTCTTCGATTATAGCTGTTTGGCACACGGTGGTCTCTCGGAGAGGGAGAACGCGCGTTTGAAGCGTATTTTGAATTGTTGCGTAAGATTTGTGTACGGCACCCCACGGGGATCCCGGGTGTCCGGGGTTGTATTTCCAACTTTCCTGGCTATTCCCCTCCTTCCGTGCACAGTATTTCGTAGNTTCTTCTTCTTCTTCTTCTTCTTCTTCTTCTTCTTCTTCTTCTTCTTCTTCTTCTTCTTCTTCTTCTTCTTCTTCTTCTTCTTCTTCTTCTTCTTCTTTACATTAGGGTATTCACGCAGAATTGGAATCGCGTATAATTGTGTTATTCCTAAGAATAAAACACAATATACAATATTTGGACAGGAAGATCGAATAAGGACATGTACTTAAATACTATTAGTCCTCTTTTGGTTAGGATTTGAAAAATTGTGGAAAGAAGGAATTGTGGAAAAAAAAGGACTATTTAACCACATCCCACTTCATCAAATTCTGCAAAGATAAATAACATGACCTAACAACAAGGATTAAAAGGGGCGTCGTTGACCGCAATGGTTTAGGCACACATCATTGTAAAGTAAAAGTCCCGGGTTCGAATCCAGAGGCCCTGCATTCGAACCCGACATACTTACAATGGGCTTATTTTTTAAAAGCACCAGCACCCCGAGGGTTGATATGAACTCTGCTGTTGCGAACCCTCGTAAAAAATAAATAAATAAAAATCGTTAAATTGCATGTCCAACAAACAAGTGATTTGATCAACTATGGAGCTATTAATCAACTGTAACTAAGTCATGTTATAATAATCAGCATGGGTGGTAGCAATGTTACCAACTTAAAATAATTAGTTAAAATTTTTCATGCTCTTTCTATGGAAGTTTCATGACAAGTAAGAAAGCGGATGGAGGGACGGATAAGCATTTGATAATTCTGTGTTTCTTTTGTCATTTCAGTTTGTTATTATAGAAGACAAACACGCTTTTAATATTTCAGTTAAAAAATCAATTTTACATTCAATTTTTTGACCTTTTAATGTCTAATTCACACTTAGTTTTAACAACTTTCCACTCAAAGTACGGAATCGGTCTTCCGCTCTTGGTACAATTAAGACGAGTTTTCTGTGATAAATGGTTGCCTTCTTGATGAATGCTCACTGTTGGAGTATTGTATAATGTAATGTCCGGTGGTTATCTGAGAGGGGGGTTGAAAGCCGGGGAGTGCCTGCAGGAGGAGTTAAAGGGCCGCCCTCATCCCTTCTCAGCGACCTTCCTTTCTATAATTATTTAGATAACAACTGTCATTTGCAATGAGCCACAGTCACTTAACGGTTATTATTATTTTTTTTCTTCCAGCAGATAAAATCTGGCTTAAAACAATGTTTTGCACTACAACGTATCATTGAAAAATTAGTAATTCAACTTGATGATATTAATTTTATGTTAGACCATGATTTATTCAAAACATAAATAGTTGTCTTTTTTAAATTTTGTGGGGTTTAAACTTTGAAAATGACTAATTTTCATATTTTTAAAGGGTTTTAAATTATTTTGAATCTCTCAAATGTTATTAGTATGATTTCATTTTAATGATTTACTATATTGGCCATTATTTGAGAAGAAATTTTATGACCACCAAAAAGCTACATTTTTCGAATTTTGAAATTTGAAAAGAACACACTTAATGGAATGTAACACATCCAACAATAAACTATCTAAGTTGAAAAAAAAAAGAAAAAAAGAAGCCACGTGAAGAAGTTCCAGTTGAGTACATATTGCAGCAAATTGAACATCGCCTGGAATGATAACGTTCGTTCTTCAAAATGCATTAGATGTTGTATCTTCCAATCTAAAGAAATGTTATCTGTCACTGGACTGGACTCCAGACTCACTCGATGGAATCTGAACACATCGAGTTCCTTATAGGCTGGAAGGTGAAGTCAGTTGATGTTTAAAATAAGGACAAGTTTTTATTCGTTTGGAATTGTAAAGGAGTTATGCACTATGGAATTCTCAACTCTATTCCAAAAGATGCATTTACACTACTTTGGTGAAATGGTTTAAATCCTGCTTTTACACCATCCATCCTTTAATTTTGACTTTATTTCCTCAGACTACCACCATTTTCGTCTAAGGTCATACGTTCATACAAGAGTAGGCTTATTCCAATTGAAATTCCAACGAGTGATGCTGCCTCGTAGAATGAGTGTTGCATAGTTTGTTGCCTCAATTTATGCCGGTTTACTAAATTCAACGTGAAGTACTTTAAGTCAAAAATACTTTCTGCGACAAGGTTTTGAATGGATATTAATAGAAGGATAAGAAGCACGTTCTATTTCAACAAGCTTTTTTTAATGAGCCAAAACTAATACTAGATCAAGATCATGACCTTGCTCCTTCAGACCATCGTTCAAAACGTAAAATCTATTACGACTGTTACAATCAAAATCCAATGCACGCGGTTCTAAACGGGTAAACACGAGCTAATTAAAGAACATTTTATTAAAAAATCCTCGAAAGTTTTGAAGACGTTTTAGGACTGGGTCGTGTGGGAGATGCTGTTTTTGAAATAGTTGAACGCTGTGGACTCTCAGGCAGTGCGAACCAAAATGGCAGGGATGAATTGTAGGTTGTAGAAGCAAATATATGTTGGTACAGAATGTCTCGATCGGCTGTGAGCTAATAATCGTGAGAACGTCCGACTTGTCAAGACAATTGTGTCCCTGTTTAAATAGTGGGGTGCTTCATGCCCATTGGATGATGTTTGGAAGGTGGAAGCGTTGTCGAAAAAGTGACTCCCAGCAGAATCTCAGGTGGAAAATTTAATAACTCACAAACAAGGTGATATCCTGAGAATGTTTTATTAAAAATTGTTCTCAAATGCCATATTTATATGGAGTATACCAAAGTCAATAGTAGAACTCGGCCTAGCATTTCAACTATTGAAGCCTATGCCATTCTTAAAAGAGTGGATCAAACGCACTTGGTGTTCGCTCCTGCCGCACTGTAGCGTTTACACAGCGGAATCGAACGAGATTTGTCATGCGCTTGGGGTATGAACCGGCTCCATCATCGCAGTTACTGCTGTCCGTGACCGACCTCCATTGACCATCTCGTTGTGCCCTTGTTGGAGAAATACTATAAACTGGAGCGTCTCGGCAAATCGGTGATTTTTGTCTGAGTACCTGAGTACGTGGCCACATAGGTCAAGATGGTATTGAAAGGCGGACAAGGCCGGGACGTCCCAACCTCCGTATTAACCACTGCAATCCGGCCCTCTGATGCTAAAACTGCAATCAAAAAGTAGGCTGGATCGGCAGAAAAGCTTTCACGTATCATAAGCACTGTCGATAGTTGGCGTTGGAGGTCCTGGCTCGAAGAAGAGTCATCTTCATCCGATGAAGAGTAAGCGAGGTTGACCCACGGACACGTACTTTTTGGCCAAAGCCCGATGTGTCCGCTCAGTTGAAGGGTGCAATTATTTTGTTCCGAATAAAGAGCGCGGAGGAATGCCACCTGACATGGACAGGGTCCAGGGGGGGGACTTCAGGGTCCTCTGTTCCGATTCTTGGATGAAACAAGGTTTAATTACATGTAGCACTGTTATTTTTTTTGACCCCGGTGTGTACTGAAAGTGAATTATTTATTAGCGTGAATGATTAATGTGAGAGAGTCGAAGACAGAATATTAAGTACCCTATCTACACCCAATTAGGTTCGTTATGTAGTAGCTGGAAGGGGTGATGAAGGAATGTCTAGTATTCCACTAGCCTAACTGAGTAATGGTATAAATAAGAATGTATTTAAGGGTGAGTCAAAGTTTGAATGGATTTAGGAACTGATTGCGTTGGGTGCTGCTGTAATGACCTAGCTGATTACAGCCCCTGGAGCCAAACCTAGGCTGCTGGATGCATATGACCCAATTCTGACCTCGGACTGTCAACACCCACGATGGGTGATTCCCAAGGCTTGCCGGTAAGTTATTGTAAATTACAAAAGGTGGAATTGCCGGTGGCTTGCGAGATGCGATAGGTACAACTTTATACAAGCTTTTATATATCTACATGCGTATGCAATTTTGAGCTTGTATGTCAAGAGGTTAATACATGTTCGTAATCAAACTTATATTATATTGACCCTATAGTCCTGACCTTGGTTCTTCAAACCACCACATCTTTAGAGCAAATTAAGACATATTTTCGTAGAGAAAAAACATCTAATACATTCATGAAAAGTTTAACCAAAATCCAAGGGATTCAGGAGCTGTCCTCTAATAACCATAATGGTCATCGTGGCCACAATGTAAAATTGTTGTAAAGAAAGAATAAATTAAATCACACATGAAATAGGCATCACTACAAACACCAAACACCCTAATAATAATAAAAATGTTGTATATGGTATTTTTTAAATAAAAGGCGTTTATTGTGAATTCTTTAGATTCCATCGTCCTAATGGAATTGACACGTTTATTGGCTTTAACGTCCTGTAAGAGATCAATTGTATATTGTCACTCTTATTCCAAAGTTCACAAAACATTTACATTTTAAGATTTCTGTTTTGGCCAGCAAAAAATTGGGTAAAAAAGGTCGTGGTCCTCGCTCAGGCCATATGAATGAGTGGTAAAGAAACGGAACGGCAAAAGATCTAAGTAATGAAAGTAGAGTAAAAGGGCCTGTAATGGAATGCACCGAGAGAAGAACAATGAGGCGTGAGTGTATTAGCATTGTATGAGATCCCTCCGGCCAACTAGTGCAATCTATCGTCGGATTATACCGACATGGTTCGGTGAGATTTCTTTCGACTTTCTTATTAGCAGTGGAAAAGCTTTTCTTCCTTAGTTTCACACCATAATAAAATTGGCCCTTCCCCTCGTAACGGCTTAATAAAATAATAACTCCGACCGTTATTTTATTGGAATTATATCATAAATGTTTCAGCAGGTTGTAACATCGATAGGGTTGTATCTTTAAAAAAAAAAAAAAAAATCTGGACATAATAATAAGCATTTTTCAACTTCAGTTACCGGCTGTATGACCAATTATTTATCTATTATCATATCTAAGCGATAAGTTCTTTCAAATGGATACAGTATAATAAAGGTAATCTTAGCATTTACACCTTTGGGGTGTATGATGAGGGACTTTAAGAAAATCACAAATCAACTTTTTATTTATGTTCACACAAAAACTTTATAATTATGACATCAAATATCGCCCGGCCGAAGACAATTAAAAAACATTGTTCTTTCTCGGACTCTAGATTTCGGTGTTAATATTGAAATCGTGGGCGTTGTTCTGTTTGGATAGGGAAGTCTTCGAAGCCCGTCCAAGTAGTTCGGACGGTTTTAAGCAGAAGGGTATTGCCAATCCAGATTGTTGACGCACAAGGGATGGGGAAGGGCCGGCCTCTTGAAAGTTGACACTAAGTTGGCCAGGGTTGCCGAAGGCCCTTCACCAAGAGATCGAATCGATGTCCTTCTTGGTGGACTTAAAGGACAACCGTCCGACATTACCTCTTCTGCCGGCGAAGCACACCTAAACGGCCACATTTTTTATTCATTAAGCATGATTTTCAGCTTTGTTTCGTTCTTAGTTTACATTAAAAAATAGGTTAACTAATGAATAAAACAGATACAGGAAAGCTGGCATGAGAAAAGCAAAAAGACAAGACAGAACAACCCAATGGGAGAAAGAGTAAACCTTACTCAACAGAAAGAGAGAAGAAAGTAAAGGAATGAATTTCTTGATTTACGTGAATATGTGGTAAGCATCGATCCATTCAGGGTTATACTTTGTCGAAGGATGAACTTTGAAATGCACAATGGGATACAGAAGAATAGACAACTCTACTGAAAAACATAATGATATAGGATGTTTTTTTTAACGAACGTTTCGCTAGGTAAATCACATAATGCTATTCTAGTTACTCTCAAAGTTGCTACTATGATAGAGAGATGCGTTGGCGGGTTCTTTTGCAACTTGGGATAAGTGGAAATCACTGTAAGGTAAAGGGTTGGGTTCGAATCCAGCGGCCCTGTATTCGAACCCGACATACTTACAAAGTGCTTTTTTTGAAAAACACCGGCACTCTGAGGGTTAACCTCTGCTGTTGCGAACCCAATGTAACATGGAGTGATCAGTGATAACCAATCTTAATGATTTTTGATGGTTTGCACTTTTGTGACCAGTGTAATGTTAGGCATCTCACAGGTAGGTCTGAAGACCAAGAATGACAAATAGGTAAATTGAGTCGATTGGCTGCTAAGGAGAGGACTTGATAAAGGTGACAGGAATACGAAGTTTTCTGATCCTATTTCGCAGTTTGTGGACAACACTGCCCATCAAAAGAAACCGACCATCTGGTTTTTGCACGAAAAAATGCATATTTTCTCAGTTTTTAAGTCACAGACCTGCGCTAGATTTCAAAGTTTAGAAAATTTTACACTGAACAACAAGGTTTTTTAAAATCTTTTTCTTGTGTCAGTCATTTACCAGTAAATCAAAAGTTCTGGAACATGTCAATTTTTGCATTTTTTGCGAAAACTTCAAATTGAGCTGTGGAGCCAGGAAATCGTCCTGGAGCGACGCCATTTAGCAATCAATAGACAATTTTAGTAAGCATTCAATTGATCACCTTCCACTTTGCTCGATATCTCAACCGTTTTCGAGTTATTCGCGATTTTTTGCGCGCTCGTGGAAAAAACCGATCACTCTCCCGATTTTACCATAAGTATTGTTATTGTTTCAATATGTTATTCGAAGCCAAACTGCCACAGAAAAGTTGAATTTCCGAGCAACCTCCGAAAGATGGTTCTACAAGGGTAATAAAATCGAGGTGGTGAACAAGTATAAAAATCTGGGAGGTATTTTTATTTCCCTATCACACTAGAATTGCTGCTGCAAAAAACAGGTTTAAATTGCATTTGGGTAAATCTCTTTAGAAATAATCTTGTCCCTTATGAAGCCAAACTAAAAGTTTACAACCGTGTCCTGCGCTCTGTTGCATGTTACGACGCTCAAGTCTGGGGACTCCAGGCTTATGACGTTTTGGAAACATTTAAAAGATGTTTTGTGAAGAAACCTCTCAGTCTACCATCTATTTCCCCAAATTACATGCTAACCCTTGAATACGGTTTGCCCCCTTTCCTTTCATACATCTAAAATAAATATCTAAGGTGGGCCTTCCGGATGATCGTCTGCCTAAAATTATCGCTCGACAGATAATTAGAAAGAACATTTCCTGGTTCAGGCAATGACAATCTCTAACAAAAAAATATTCTTGCCCTCTTCAAAATACCGATGTTCAAGAGATTCTCTTTGAACTTTTAAAACTCCCTAATAAAATAAACGAAGTTCATCGTGAAGAGGCTACGGACAGAGCAAAAAGTACAAAGCGGTTTTGCATGTATAAGGCAATTTTCGCTGAGCATTCACTGTCCTTCATACCCAGTCTTTCCCAGAACCTTAACCTTAGATACTCTCGATGGCGTTTTAAATTAAGAGGAGAGTTGTTATATCTGAAATTTAAACCCGGTTGTAAATGACCCATACAATGAAATCTGTCCTCTCTGTAACAGTAATGCACGGAAAGATGTGTATCACTTTCTGGGAATTTGCTCTCTGCTTTCAGAACTGCGTGTATTATATTTGGGAAAGTCCGTTATTTCCAGATCTGAAATTCTGGAATATCTCACCAATCAAAAATCTCCCTCATCGATAATATCTTTTGCTCGGCACGCCTGGCGAGTGAGATATGAGTGGCTTTTAGTTATGCAATGATTGTCGATATTATGAAATTAACTGCAAACTGTTGTATACTGTTCTATTAATTCTCAAAAAGTAACAGGGATCCTTTAAATCTTACTATTTTTCCTTACTTTCTTTTTTTTGTCATTCACACTCCTGCTTGATATAACTTTTTTCTTCTTATTTGTTTTCTTTTGTTTATATTATATCTATAATTAAAAACTTTATTATAAAGTGAATTTCCGTTATTAGGTAAAAAGTGGTTAGTGGAACAACACAAGCATTCCGCATCCCAAAAGGCCAAAGTAAGAAAAAGTCAGAATTACCCCTTCCCTGGTCACTTTTTGAAAAAGTCCTTGGAGCAAAATTTATACAGCTTAAATTGGCTAAAACATGACGGTTCAAATTTTATCCATTCTTGAAAGTCGGGAGAGAGGGAGAGAGAGAGAGGGGGAGAGAGTGATCGGCATTTTCCACCACCTTAAAAACAAAATTTTTGCTCAAATTTGGGCTTTTCGTGTTGCTTTCAATTTCTACGTGAAATGGACATATTTCGCACAAGCGACTCTCTTCGTCAGTGAACGTTTGTAGGTACTCAATGATAGCCTTGGTGTGACAACATTACTTCAGTGAATTGTACTGAATGGATGATAGTTACTTAATTTTAAAGTTAAATATTTGGTTTAAGGCATCTAATTTGTTCGTTTCTTTTTCCAAGGGTGGTGTCTATTTAGTCGATTTCTTGAACGTGTTCGGCCCAGGGCTTGCGATATTGTTCGTCGTGTTCGTCGAAGCGGCGGGAGTCTGTTGGATCTACGGGGTGGACAGGTTTTCATCCGACATTGAGCTGATGCTGGGCCACAAGCCGGGCCTCTTCTGGAGACTGTGTTGGGCGTACATCAGCCCGATATTCCTATTGGTAAATATTAATCATGCAAGTGTTTTGTTTGTTATTAACGTTAAAATTTTCAGGTGATCTTTGTAGCGTCGCTCGTCAGCTACAAGGAAATGCTTCCCCACGAATATCCTCCTTGGAGTACTGCCGTGGGATGGTTGCTGACAGCGTCTTCCTTAATCACAATACCTATCTATATTGTCTACATATTTCTGAAGACGAAAGGTTCATTTGTAGAGGTTAGTATGATTAATCGTTTTTATCTATATCATCCGTCAAACTCGGAGAGTGAAAATTTTGCATCCAAATTTTGGCTTTTGCTGTTCAATTTTTATTTGGACAAAATACGCCAAGTTGTTAACGATAAACTAGTTTATACGGTCTGGCAGGAAGTGGATCCCACGAAGGTAATCTAAACTTGGTAGGTCGAGAAGTTTTTCCTGATGGACTTAGGTTAATCCAATACACCTCCTAACTGCGGACAAGGTGCGGTATTTGGTATATATTGACGTCTGACGTGGATGGAAGTGGAATCCTCAAACATGACTGAAACGACAATAAGTTATTAAACGTTACAGAACACTTTCACGACTTCCTGATAAACGCCCTGACTGATCTCACTTAAACAAAATGCTTCTTTACAACACCATTGTGAAGCCGATATTGACTTACAGACTGTATATGTGGGATTTAGTCAAACATTCCAACATCCTTCGCATCCAAAGACATAATCCTCAGAAATATCGTTGATGCTCCCTATTATCCAACGAAACTAAAGACCTGAGTAGATCTATGGTATTACTCTAGTTTTTATAACTCACAGTATCTTGCTTGCAGCTTTTCCTTTCTTAATTGCAAGAATCTGAACCTACAAAAACTTTCAAAAACAAAAAATGTGTTCTGACGTCTCCTTCTCTTCATGGCAGGATTTGCACATGTTTCTTCTATCTGTACTCCTATTCAGTGCATGTGCCTTCTTAGGTGGCCTGTCAGGAGTCTAACCAGAATCGTTCGGTTACGGTTGCCTTCCAATAACCACCTAAATATTTCTATTGTCTAAGACGTAATCCAACCCTTTTCACCAATTTAGTACTTCCAACCAGCATAAATCCATAAATTTGAAAAACACTCATCTCGACGAATTCCTTCCGACCTACGTCGCCGATTAAAAAGACGATGGCCGTAGTATCTTCTTTCAATGATAAAGAAACAAACTTCGATTAAATAGAGAATACTCATAAGAGTGCTGTCAGTCACTCTTGTTTATTTATTTATTTTCTAAATCCATAGTTACTTGCTGTCAATTGAATAAACAAAAAGTAACCAAAGATGAGCAAGTTGTTACAATTGACGATGTCAATATGGCACCTTTTAATAAGAACGCTTTATTGAACCAGTGGATTATTTTTATAAAAAGCGTCTGGACTTTGCTCAAAACTCTATAAAAAAGATTAATTATTGATAAGTAGTTAGATGGCCTATTTAACTTTCTTCGAATTTATGAACTTAAACAAAATACATTTTATGAACCCTAATAGAAACATTACAGTTTCACCTTACTTGAAAAAGCATTCGTTTTCTTTCAAAGTATGTATTTATATAAAATAATGGGAAAATACAATTAAGACCAGTTGTTCTTCTACAGGGTGATGTGCCTATAGCTTGGTCGTTTCAGACTGTCTTGACCTGTTTATTCTTGCTCGCTGTTACAGCGGACCGAGATGATCGAATACGACCAAGCTACAAATTCTAGTATAATTTAGGGGAAAAACAGATGCATGAAACCACATCAAATGCTTACTAATTGTCGTTGTTCTGCAGAGAGTCAAGATCATCCTTAAACCAGAAGAAGACACGGAGGTGATACGAGCCAACTACGGCACCGACGGTACACACGTATGACTTGAATGGCTGGTGTAATTTGCTCATCGAAAAGGAACGAAGCGGAACGGAAAGTGTGTCGTGAGAGGTGGAGGGTAAGCGATCAGCCATCTGAGAGGTTTTCGATCAGCGAGGTGGAGGTCGGAACTGGGCGAACATGCAGCAAGGGTTGTCGCTCCGCACACCCCTCCGAACCCCGGCCCCGCCTCGTTGACGCTAATTATTCGCTTACACCCCCGTTTTTGAGAAACTACCGTATATATTTAAGTGACTGTAGATCAAAACATTAAGCTAGTACCGACGATGATTTCAAAAAGGGCCCTTTTATTTAAAAAGAAAAAAAATGAAAGGCTCTTATCAAAGTCGATTTTTAAACTGAAATGGAACGTATTTAAAATAATGTTTGGTGTAGCTTTACGAATTAGTGTGGACTAGCCACAAGCTTGGGGACCCGACAGCCACGGGGCTCCCACTATCGTGCGCACACTCAAGGCAATTGTTTCATTACATTAAAAAATATTTATAATGAAAAAACTATATGTCTAAGTCTAAAAGAATTTATAACTATACTTAATGTAAGGAATATGTGTAAATGTCGTAGAGAGATGACTCGAGTAACCAATCTTAGCTCTAAGACAGTGTTAAGACTGGGCCTGTGCCTAGAGGAAAGCGGCCCCAGCCATTGCCGCTCTCCGCACACTCTCAAAGACAATATTATAATCATTAAATCAATTGTTACCTTGTTATCTACAATAAATGTTTTTCCCGTATTTGATGTTGTTGTTACCCCGCCCGCATTCCTTTTCAATTGCTTTCTTCATTCTCAATCACTGGTACTGTTGACAGGAGTCAGACCAATAGTTGGCCCTGGAGTCAATATGAATAAATTCATATGTGCAAAACAAATAGCTTAATTAGACTACTAACAGGTACTTCTTGATATAAGGGAAATACTATTCGCAGAGATTTGATCATCCAGGAAGTAAGTAAACAAAGAAGTCACTTATGGATCGTGCAACCGCTAGAAGAAATTACATAACATCAATCATGCAGTGACGATCAAAGATGGACTAAAAAATCGAGACTAAAATCAACTCCAAAAAAGCGCCTGGATACGATCCATTCACTGGCCGGATTCTCTAGGAGTTGCTTAGAAAAGCAGTGGTCCAGATGTGAGACCACCAATGTAGCCATCAGGCCATATGTACCACCTACATGGAAGATCGGCTGAGTTTATCTTGATCGCTAAACCAGGTAAACCGCATCATGAGTTCATATCATAAAGGCCAATATATCTACTGCCGGTGTTTTCAAATTATTAGAAAAACTCATAATTAAAAGGCTAATGCCATTATAGTGTTTTGTAAAAGGTAGTATTGATTTTGGTTCAAAGTAGGTGTTCGAATAACCCAAATCTTTTGTTAGGTTCTTGTCTTGTCCATGAACGCCTGCTATCAAAGTAAAGCCCAAGGTGGGGGACTTGGTTGGATGGAGGTATTATCTTGTGGTTTATGTGCATTGGTGGGCAGGTTTGACGTTTGAGCATAAACGTAACTTGTTGGCTTTTTTGCTAGTTCAGCCTGATCCACTAACTAGTGCAGTCGGTAATGAGGTTCAGATGTAGAACTGCTTCTGTGACTAGCGAAATAAGGAGAGTAGAGTATGGAATAAGGATCGCGGTGTAACAACGACAAGGAATGATTATCCAGCTTGATTGATGCCCAGCACACAATTCTTTGCAGGTGAGACGTTATTTGAATCGTCACCTCCGGGATTGGTGGATAGGACCTCATGGCCTGATCTGTTGGCCTCCTCGGTCACCCGATTTAACTCCACTTGTCTATTTTCTGTGGGGACATTTAAAAAAACAGAGTCTACGCCATTCATAACCTAGCAACCTCAGTCGAAGAGCTGCGGCAAAGGATAGAAAATGCTTGTCTCTGAGCACCGGTGAAGACTGGCTAAAATGAGCAAATCTTTACATCTTTATGCAAGGCAGGCAGTTCGAACATGAAATGTGATTCATAAATAGCAAACCAAATGTTTTTTTGTTTTTTTAATTTAACTTTTCGCATAATTTTGTCATTTTTTGACCAATTTAAAATCCGATCGCACCATTCAGCGTAAAAAATCCTTTAAAATGTGTCAGGTGCATAGGGTCGTATTTGAAATTTTGAAGTTGAACTGGGCCTGACGTATCCTGTACAATTTTTCTCCAAAAAAAATAAAAATTTGAAACTAGACTAAAAAATATTAAACACGTAACAACTAGCACTCTGAACACGACACGCAAGAATGGCACAATTACACAGACAACAAACACTTTGAGCCCTGAAGATGATCTCAATAAAGATCGAAACGTTGGCACGATAAAGAAAACGTCGCACCAGACCGCATCTCACGATTTCTGAATAATCATTAAACACGTATTTTTTATAGTGTCATTGTTTCAAGAATAATTCAACCGGGCCATCTAAAAAGTAAACCCTGTATAAAGGTGTCATCAGGTGGTTGGGAAATATTGAAAATAAATTAATTAATTAAAAAACGTAACAATTAATTATTTTTCAACACAGAATTTCATGAAACGTATTGCATAGTTCAATTCAAAGCTGTTTTTAGTTCATAAATAAAAAATAACAAATTGAAAAAACTACCAAAAAATCATGTATGACTACATTTTTGACCCAGTGTAGATCTTAATTTAAAGTACACATTGTAATACGCAAACATTTAATTAATTTAAACATTTAATTAATGATTTAAAAAAAATTCTTTTCGCATCAAATTTTGGCAAATCGGTTAGGGGGTGAGATCTGTGCATTTGTATAACAGCCTACTTGCACTTTAAGACAAATTATTTTGGAAGCTTATGTTGGTTGGATTTTTGATTTACTTATACTAAAATCACCGTAAAGAATTGAAGTTTAATCAACAAAATTTTAAAATATCGATTTTATTATTTAGGTATGATTTTGTTGTTATGTGGTGGGTGGAGTAGTTAGATAAAGTAAGGACACCCTGTATGTGAAAGATGTCATCAGGTGGTTGGGAAACATGGAAAATAAATGAATGAATAAATACTCAATTAATTATACACAATTTTTCATTTCGAAAAAAATTGTGTATAATTAATTATTTATTTATTTAATAGAAGCTGATAAAATTTAGTATAAATGAATGAATTTAAAAAAAGTAACAATTAATGATGTTTCAACACATAATTACATGAAACATATTGTATAGTTCAATTCAAAGGTGTTTTTAGTTACAAAATAAAAAAGTTAAAAACTGCAAAAAAACATGAATAAATAAATTTTTGACTCAATGTAGATCTTAATTTAAAATACACATTCTAACACCCAAATATTTAACTAATTTAAACATTTAATTAATTATTTAAAAAAAATCTTTTTCACAGCAAATTTTGGCAAATCGGTTAGGGGGGGGGTGAGATCTGTGCATTTGTACAATAGCCATACTTGCACTTTAAGACAAATTATTTTGGAAACTTAGGTTGTTTGCATTTTTAATTTATTTATACTAAAATCACCGTAAAGGATTGAAGTTTAATCAACAAAACTTTAAAAAATCGATTTTATTATTTATGTTGGGGGGTTGGAGGAATAAGTCGGAAGAGTAAGATAACCTTCCTCTCCTCCCCTGATAACAGTCTGTTGGCGTTTCTAACTTCTGTTCTGACTTCGAATGGCGTCTGGCGATGCTCGTCTTCCGCCGGTCGGGACGTTGATGCGTATCTCGTACCGTTATCGCAATGATCGCGACCTATTTTTGGGCCACCGTCGCGATTTCCGTCGTCTCCTATTCCGTGCTAAATTTTGACCAAGTCAGGGAGTTTTTCGCCGGTCGCTTCCAACGGCGAGCGGAGGCCGGGGACGCCGGAGGCCGCCTCTTCACGGTGGAGGAGCTCGCCGCTTTCAACGGGGACCAACTCTACCTGGCCATCCTGGGAAGTGTCTTCGACGTGACCAAAGGAGCGAGGCATTACGAACCCGGAGGAGGTTACCACGGGTTTGTTGGTATGATTCAATCTTTCATTTCCATTTATTGTTTAAAAAACAATCAACTTTACGTTTTCTTCATTCCACTGATGGACAAATTTAACTCATCACTCAATTTCTTCACTTTAAAATTAAATCCATTATCTTTGAACATCGGTTGCAGGTAATTAAAAGCTTTTTTAGTCAAAATAAACAGTAAATAATGATTTGTTTACTTCCTTTGTTTATTTGTGTACTGATTAATCTCATTTGCACAAAAGGTAGCATTGGGTTCAATTCTGCTACGCCTAAAGACCACTTTCAGTTAATCTTTTTCCTTCGTTGATTTCTTTTTTTATTCTTATTCTTAAACCTTTTACGATGAGTCGAGTCAGGCATTTGAGTGAGCATGACAGTGCCTCATAACATTATTAGAGGAAGGATACAACCAGTCCGAAGTCACTAGGAGACTAAATGTAAACCACTCTACAATAGGAAGGGTTCTTGTGAGCTTCAGCGAAATAGGGTTTCACATTAGAAGGCCAGGGGGCAGGGTCTACCTAAGTCTACAGACCAGTTGCAGTTGGAATTTAGGGCTTGTAGCCAGCTCGAAGTCCAGATTTGAACCCAACAGAACACATTTGGGACAAACTTGAGCCAATGAGTATGATGGCGAAACCCAGGTCCTAACACTCTAGAATAGTAAGAAATGGCTGTTCTTGATGAATGGAATTCTATGCCAGCATATTAGTTGGGATGCTGTGGAAGATCAGCCGTATAAATTGTGCAGAGTAAGGGAGCCATGTATGCCACCCTAAAATGGAACAAGTAGAAAAGGAATTTGCCTTGGACGATTCTGAAATATTGGTTTGAAGATTGGATTTGAGAATAATGTATGTGAATTGTACATACTCCCTGAGCCAATCAAAGTCCTGCGGGCGAACTCTGAACAGTACAGTTGGTGACAGTGTCAACAGAAAGGTTGGTGAATGCTTTATTGCTGAGGGTCCACTGAAGGGGAAGAATAATTTGAAAAGTCCATTTTCCATTTTGACATTAAAGGATGGGAGATTTTTCTATACAATTTATCAAAGAAATAATACTAACCTTTTTAATTATTTTTATCGACTTATTCTTAATTATATAATTAATTAATCATACACAATGTTTTCAAAATGAAAAATTTTATGTCAAGGGCGGGATTTGAACCCACGACTTTTGGCTCAATACATCACTGGTCGATTACTTGAGCTACCATGACTTTGATCTTATCATACCATGACAAATTTTTCATTAAAAAAAAATTGTGTATAATTAATTGAGTAATTAATGATATTAAGAATAAGCGATAAAAATAATTTAAAAAGTTAGTATTAACCTAGAATCACACCTGAATCATACACAGTCCCGCTAATGTAGTACGATCGTTAATAAAATGTGTTTCTATATGAAGCTGTGATTTTCTTACAATTGGAATAAAACAGGTAGTCAAAATGGAAAGTTTGTGGCATGGGCGATCAAAGTAATGGTAGCTCAAGTGCTAGAGCAGTGGTATATTTAGCCGAAAGTCCTGGGTTCGAATCCTGCCTGTGACACCAAATTTTCATTTAAAAAACAATTGTGTATAATTAATTGAACAAAGAAATAATGTCTCAAATCTTTATGACAACTGGGTTTTACAACATGTTTTGACTTTCAAATGACATGCTAATTATGTAAAGTTTGATATGTTGATGTCACATGGCATATTTCTCGCTCATAGGAAGAGATGCGAGCAAGGCTTTCATCACTGGCGATTTCACCGAAGAGGGTCTCACGGATGACATCTCTACTCTTACTCTCTCTGACTTAGGTGCTCTTAATGATTGGCTTAAGTTTTATCATAAGGATTATGAGTACAAAGGTATTGATTTATTGAACTTATGATAATGATTTGTATTTATATAAAAAAAAAAAAAAACCCTTAAGGAAAGCTGATTGGAAAATTTTATGATGAGAAAGGCCAAAACACAGCTTATTTAAATGAAATACTCGAGAAAATTAAGGTTGGTGAGCTAGAGAAGAAATCTGTTAAAGAGTTGGAACACAAGTACCCGCCTTGTAACATTGAATGGAACCAGGAGAAAGGGTCACGGGTGTGGTGTTCAAAACAAAGGTAAAAATACAATAAATACTTCTTCAGAGTGCATTAATTAATTTTATTTTGTAGTGGTGGTGTCAAGAGAAGTTGGGTGGGATACCCGAGGAAGTTTTTTCAACCTGGAAAAAAGACATTTCGCTGTGCTTGTGTTAAGACCTTTGACGTTTCCGGTGATAATAGGCAAGGAAGCTTTGAACGTTATGAAGGCTGTAAAGTCGATTCTGAAAGTTGCTACATAAAAGAAAAGTGATAACTTCTCTACCTGTTTATGTAAATTATGTTAATTCCACTGTAATTTAGATTGGCAGCTGTGCTTATTATTTATAAGTCCGTCCAACCTGTATTTCTTCATCACCCTTTCAATACAAATCGTATTATACACAATTTTTTATTTGATAAAAGTATGTGTTTTTTGTTTAATATATAAGTTGTATATTTTTATAGTAGCAAATTAAAATATATTATAAATTAAAAAAAAAAAAAATGTCTACGTTCCTTCTATTATCTTAAGCAGGACTTATTTTGTACAGTACTCACAAGCAGAGAAGAATCTTACAGTTATTTTCTGTGTCCTTTGATGAATTTTTGACATGCCTCTGTCCTGTGCCCCCTTCAACAGAGGACTTAATCCTCCTATGATGATGATGATGATGAATACTAGGAAGTGGGGTTTGTGCTTCCCAGTGCAATCTTTTTTTTATATTTTTAATTTTTTTAAAATGTTTTAATCAAAGGTTATGTTTCTATTGTCTGCTCCAATCTGTTTTTGGCAATGTGGTATGCCACAAAAGGATTCAGGGCCAATAAGTCTCTTCGTCAAACTTTTTTTTGGCTAATTCATCGACCTCATCATTGCCACTCTGCACTGTGAGCCCTGGCCCTGGTACCCAGACAAGGGTAATTTTGTCCTTTACCTCAATGTCTGACAGGGCAACAACTGGCCTTTTCTACTGGTGCGGTAATTGCCCTCAGCGTCGCCTAGCTTTCTTCTATTAACACCTTTTCTTCTCATAGTTGTGTAACATATTATTTCCAGAAAAAATACGATATTTGATTGTAGACTGTGCTTTGTAGATAATAAAATACATAAATATGCAAATTTTACTGGACATTATTTTTTCTTTATATTAATTTTCACATTAAACTATTATTAATTAGCAGCTAGATAAGTTAAGAAATAAAGAAAAAAAGGAAGAGAATTTTCATGTGTACGCAATATTTACTCACCATCAAGTTAAATTAAACTGCTCAAAAATGAATAGGGATATTTGTAATTTATTCTTATTTTATTAATTTTAATTAAATTAACTGATATGTTCTTATTAGTTAGATAAATCAAAATAGAAAATACAAAACACCTTTTCCCGTCTTTTCTCCATTTTAATCCAGTTGTATTTTTTTTAACCATGGAAAGATCATCTTGAACCAGAAGTTCGCAATATTATTGTGACAATGAGTCATCGACAAGTCGATATCGCAGAAGCAGTGGACGTTTCTCAGAATGTGGTCTCCCAGGTGTTAGCCCGATTCCGAGAGATGGAAGTGCCAATAGGAGGTAGTGGACCTCAGTGCATTACGGCACTAAGGGAGGACAGAAATATTGCCATTGCTGCAAGACGGAAACCTTTCTGTATTGTCCACCAGATCCTAAATGAATTAAAAGAAGTTTTGGCAAAGCCTTTATCTGTAACAATTACAAATCATTTGTGGGAAGTTGGCTTCACTTTGAATGCCTCTTTGAGAGCTCGCCACCAGCAACTCAAGAGAGTATGGTGCAGCAAGGGTCTAGAATAGAACACCAATTGGAGTGCTGTTATGTTTACTGATGAGTCGTGTTTCTGTCTGTATAGTGATAGCAGGCGCTGAAGTCTATTGAGAACAGGGGAATCGTACAATGCCCTAGTTTGTGCTCTCTTCAGTGCAATTTTGAGGAGGCAGTGTAATGGTGTGCGATAGGATTTACACTGTAGAACGAACTGGACTCCGTATTTTTGAAGGCAACCTTACGTCCAAGAAGTTACAGAGAAATACATCCCTCAAACCAGGGATCTCATTGGCAGGGATTTTTGATTTCTGGATGACAATAACAGACCTCACAGAGGCAGACTGTTCATCAGTATTTAGAAAACCTGGGAATTTTCCATCTGCCCCTTCCTCCATTGTTTCCACACCACACCCCATTGAGCACATGTGGAATGTGTTGGAGAGAAGGCTTTTCAATCACCATCCGCAGGCAGATGACCTGCAACAACTGATTACAGTGTTGCAACATCTATGGAGTGAAATTAGTGACAACTTTATTAACAGTTTGCCTAACAGGTGCAAAGAGGTTGTAGCTAAGCTAGTATTAATTAAAAAAAATATTGTCCAATAAACAAAATTATGGAATTAAAACCTCTTATTTATTCCCTAATTTCGTGGTCCGCTTGACCAATTAATATATTACAATTAATTAAGGTTTTTAGTTGAGATAAAAAAATCAATGGCACAAGCAGGATTCGAACCCACGATCTTTGGCTAGATACGCCGCTGCTTACTTGAGCTATTGTGACCTCGATCCACTCGGTCACTAACTTCCCACCTCAACCCCACCTTTTTGCCATTTTTTTTATTGTTAATGTATTTAATTGTAATATAATGATTGGTCAAGCGGACCACAAAATTAGTGAATTTAATGATTTAAAATGAAGTATACTTCACTAAAGCTCTCCATGGCCATTTCATTTGTCGTCGAGAATCCAATCCGATTACACGACATTTGAAAATATTATGGTGTGATATTAAAGACATTTGATTAAAAAGAAAGATTATATTCAAAATTTTATTTTATACCATTATATACGTTTGTATCTATAGTTTATACAAAATCCAAATACAAGGGATAATTTTGATCGTTGCTGAATTGAACCAATGTAACAAGTTTTATGGGCATAAAGTAACATGTACAAAACGCTTAAACCCTTTGAACAATGTGAGATACCAACTCATTGCGGAATCTTTCTTATTTTTCACAAAAGTTAGTTTTAGTGAACGTCATCTTATTTTATTTATGAGCCTGTACAGCAACATGACTTACAGTTAATACGATACAATTTTGGAAGCAGTTATTGTCTATAAACTATTCAAAAAGGTTAAAAATCCAGCAAAACATTGTACAAAGTTTACAATTTACAATAATAGAAAAACATTTTTTTAAACAAACTGGTAAAATTAAGATTTTTAAGTAGAATTTAGGCACTGGAGATGCAATAAATATTCATCAAAGTTTTATTTTTAGTTTTTGTCAATTGCATGTAGCGTCTAAAATTTATGAAAGACTAAACATGAATACTCAGGTTTCAAATTATAAAATAATAAATTATATGTGTATATCACAATAAAAAGGTTTAAACATTTTCAATTGATATTTTTGTTCAATTTAACGTATACATCTGTAATTTGAAATACTGTAAATTGTACATTGGTTGGTCAAACATGATTATAATCAATCGTGGCTGTTTTAGGACTGGATGTATAATTGAAAAAATACGCTTGTGCACAAACAAAAAATAAAACAGAGCGTCAGGAAGAACCATTTTACAAGATAACGAGATCAAACATTATTATCAATATACGCTTACAGGAAGTTTCATTAAACAACGATTCTCTCAACTCTATTACGAATAAGAACATTTATTCCTTTTAATTTTAACCGTTATTAAAAAATCTACATTTTTATGTTTCCAAGCACACATGAGAACATTACAATATAGTGTAATATAATAATTCAATTTTAGTTTACATATATATTTCAATTTTTAACAATTTTAAAATATTTTGATATATTAAACTTTATCTATTTATTTTTATTGATATAAATATCGAACAACAATTTTTTTTATGTGCTAGAATATGCTCACAGAATTCTTTTAAATTGAATTTAATCTAAAATGGTCCATAAGAAGGTTTTTGAAACCTTGTATAAGTTCAACATCTATTTTATCATACATACGAAACTATTTTCATGTTTATTATTACCTTTTTTAAATTTCTTTTTTATTACACGATGAAGAATTGTCTATTCATTTTGTAACATATCTTCTTCTTAGTAGCCAATCTAGATTCTACTTAGGTATATTAATTTTTTTGTCTACAAAAAACAGTTAATTGTAGTTACTGTTTCTAGGATTATTGTAAAAAAAATCTAAAATTATCGCTCTTAAAAGTTGATTGTTTTCTTTTCTTATTAAATACTCAATTTGATTTATGGCAGTGTTTCTAAAATGCGGCTAAACTACACTGTTAGAAGCGGTTTACAAATTGAATTTGTTTCCGTTCGATTAAAAAACTATAAAATGCGATTTCTATTAACCAAGAAATACTATACTTGACTATCTTTTAATGCCCCTCATGTTGCACAACTAGAAAATAGTTTTGATAGAAAATAGCTAGTCTGATAGTTACAGCCTCTTTAAGATCACACAATTAAATTAATTTTTGATTAATAATAATTTGTATTAATGCCGCTTTCAGAGGATAGTTATTAAAAGCCTCCCTTTTTGCATTGATAGGAGGTTGTGTTATAATGAATTTTTTGTTATGAGTGATAAGCATGTGCTTTGAATTTCTTTTCATATTGTAATAATAGTACAACAATAACAACAAAGGAGGGAAAATTTGAACGGTTGTCGGTTGAGATGGGAAGTTAGTGTCCGAGAGGATCGAAGACGCGATAGCTCAAGTGGTTTGAGCCGCATTGAGCCGAAGGCCGTGGGTTCGAATCCCGCTCGTGACACTGACTTTTTTATCTTAACCAAAACCTTACATAAAAAGAATAATTAATTGAAAGATGTAGCAATAGTATTGATTTGTATATAATTTGAAAATCTGTTTATGAGATTAGATTAGAAATATTTTAAAGATAATTTCTCTTCCAACAGAGGACAAAATTTGTGCAAAAAGAAAGGCTTTAAATTTAATTTCAGACAGAATAAAAAATATATATCTATTTTAAGAGTATTTATTTATTGAAAAAAAAAATTGACTGATAATTAACAAAATACTCTTGAAATATTGTACTTCAGTTTTAATTATTTTAATAATAAACTAGACCTTTCTTCTGAGAAAGATTGCTTGGAATCACAAAAACTTTTGTTTTCAGTTAAACATGTATGCCTATATGTGAAAAACCATACATTTCAAAGTACACCTATATAATTGTATTGCACCTTTTATTTTACTTGAAAAAATACTAAGATTGTAGCTAAACAAATTGTTAAAAAAATAGTTTTTCTTATGGGCATGATTATCATGCATTTATTACAAACATATTTTACATAGTAAACCATGTTTTTGCAACCAACAGTTCCGGCTTTGTTGAAAGGCACGTATCTTTTTCGACAGAACGTTTCCTCCGTGCGAAAATTGTCACACGGTTGTTATTCGGTCGAATTCAACAAAGCGTTCGGAACTGTCGGTGCTGTGTCAGCAAATCACCTCTTTGCCAACGCTGGATGACATAATTGTATCGGTGTCTGAAGGTAGAGATTTCAACTGTCTTCTAGGTCTTCTCAATCTGCAGATAAATGTCAAGACTAGGGATATAGTTATGATGGCGATTATTGTGAGCAGAGCCAGTTGGACTGGAGGAAGCGGTAGGCAATGCGTGGCCGACTCGTCATAGCCAGATGGACAGTTGTCAGTTCCATCACACCAAAGTGAAGCATTGATACAAGCATCTAGTTCTGGGCATCTGTGAAAACAGTCTTCCAGAAGTCCTTCCGCAGCCGCTTCGCTCCTCCTTTAACAGAAAACAACATTATTATGTTGCACTTTATGTAATCATGTTGGTTATGAATCTGTTTTCCTCACCTTCTAGTCAATTCTAACCAAGTAACAGAGTAAGTACCACTTTCTCTTGGGGTGAATTCAACGAGAATGTTTCTTATCTCCTTTCGATCATGTTTCGACCAGACAGGTGGCAACCTTTCTGCGTTGTTTGCTATTACCCACCCCTCCGAGAATACCTCCACCTAAAATAATTCAATGGAGGCACAGAAGATTACATGTCTTGTAAAACAAAATGTAAAAGGTTAGGCATATTTGAATTATTATGAAAAAATGCAATATCTGAATTGGGAGTATAGAATTACTATGGTGGTATAAATACCATGCTATCCTGGTATGCAGGTAGAGGTTCGGGGCACACAATGACATGGGTAGAGCCAGCGTGGATTTCTATTCGGTTGGATGTTGCGCACTGCCCTCTCCGGATGATACCAGTCTTTCCAACTCCCCCAACAACTATACCTGGTACTTTTACATAAAGGTATTTTGACTCACTAGGTTCGACCACCCAAGGCTGCCCTTCACAGTTCACCTGAAAGCATAATTAGTTATTATGAGGTAGTTTTACGGTATGACAGTATTTGGCACCTCCTCCGGAGTCTGACTCGGAGAAACAAATTCAATTTCCCCACTGGGTCCCCTCAGCTTCTTTCCCCTACTACAGACCGGCCTTCTTACAAATTCCCAAGTTGCTTCGAAACCCAAGTTTCTATAGTCATCCATGGTAGTCATGTTCTTCACGATGAAATGCAGTTGCAATATGTTACTGTTTGAGGTATATACAAATGGCAGTTGTGGTTCTGGGTTTGAGCATAGGCAGTCCTTCGGTAAATTCATGACTGTCTTGGGAAAAGGGATTTCTCTTAATTGTACAAAAGCTGTCGGATTTCCGATGCACTGGAGCCTGCCCCAGCCACCCTCGTTGTGCGTTTCACAATCTGTACGATTTGCTGTTCTCAAGTTTGTAATCGCTATTCGAACTCTTTCACCCTTTTGTGCTTCGAACCTATAAACGCAACTGAAAGCAGAAAAAGAATTATATAGATCAATGCTATCATTGGTTGATAAAAATACTACCTTATATTAGGACTTCCTCCACGACCGTATAAAAATATTTCTCTTGGCGAGGCGAATGTTTGAGGAGTGTAGTAGGAAGCAGGAGGGAGCTGTCTTTGCGTGAAAATTCTCGAACATTTCCCTGAGCCGTATTGTTCTCCATCTTGGTGAAGGTCTACAAACTCGTAAAGGGCACGAAACGACACAGGCCTTTAAAAAAATGAAAAATCACGTTGTGTAGATTTGACGAATTAAGTTATGGTTTACCTAAGCGCAGTAGCTTCTGTGACTTTCAGCTCTAACGTGGCTGAATCGCCGGTGGACAAAAAGCTCTCAGAAGCCTTGCACGCTCTGGACATATTTCTCAATAGCTGGTGGTCGCAAGAACGTGGAATCTGTTCTTTACAAAATGTCGCTATGAGTGGGACTTTCTGTTTAATGTGCATGTCAACATCAACGGATTTTTTCGTTCCGTCCCATATCTTAAGACCTGTCGCACATTCAGCTTCTTGCGACAAGGCAAATTTTGGGCTGCTTACATGATACTTTAAGACCGAAAGCCAAATACGGTATCTAAAGAAGAGACAATTTTATATTTGTTTGTATATTTACAAATATTATTATAATGCGAGGAAATTGAGTACCGTGGTGGTCTTGCGTACTGCTTAGGAGGTGGAGAAGATCCGGGCTCGGCGCCCCAAAGATGGTATAGACATGTGGTATTCGGTGGTAGCGAATTCCTCGGGCTTTCTAACACACCGTGTCCAGTGCCACTCAACCAAAACTCACATTTTTTGTTCCTTGTGTACTGGGGCGATTCCTTTTCCACGAAATCCACCTGCGGATATATTCATCGTTTAAAACTAATGTTAGAAATATACAATTATACACAAAACATGTTCACGACAACACAAAAACCTATGATATACTTTCCTAGGTGAGAACTGTTACAGAGGAAATAGTGTAATAAGAGTGGTGCTGGGTGTTTTGTGCGCTGATTTTTTCTTTTGTTTCGGAATGGTTTCCTTTATGGTGGAATATTCGAAAACTCAAATAATCATGCACTAGGCAATTTTTTTTCCCTCGAATGTAAAAGAAATGAACGGTGTAGAAAACGGGTATTAATGATGTGCAATTGTGCGCAGTAACAATATTTATATTAGTTTTTTTATCCTTTACTTTTATGGAGGTCACTACCAAAAACAAAAATAACAAATTTGGCAAAATCCGTTTACAATAGAAAACTTCATAATAAAAATTATTACTAATTAACCAAAGGATTATTATTAAATAATTGAATTTTAACAATTTTCAATTTTGCCCAGTAATATTTTTTAGTTGGTCCTATTAATCACAGTAATTGTTTTAATGGAAAGTTTGGCGTTGAAAAATTAGTGTTACGAGCGGGACTCCAACCTACGACCTCCCGATCTGGGGTACTGGTCTGAAAGTCAGGTTCGAGTCTCCCTCGTTACATTAATTTTCCAGCTCAATTACAATAATATTTAAGTTAAATTAACACAATTTTGTATCTGTCTCGTTGAACTGGGCCTCTGCCTAAAAAATAAAATGTAAAAAACCGAATTTTCATTAAGTTTTATTTACTTACTTTTCAATCCTGTCGGGACATTTTAGCGTAAACAAAAGAAAAATCTGATCACCGGAAGGATACTAAAAATTTTCTTTAAATAACGTTTATAGGAATATTCTGACTTCACCACATATAACTCATTTTTATAAAAAAATTTCCGTGTAAAACTGAATAATAACCAAATATTATTTAATTATTAATTAAGTATAATAATTTTGTTGAAATAATTTATTTGTAGCCTGTACCTATGAACATACATTTTACAAATGAAGTTCCTAAGTTTAATGTCCTATGTTTCTAATTTGAGTGCAAGTCGGTAGCTCCTTGTTTATCTTCAATGGAAGCTTGTTTGTAATCTAAATTAAAACTGGGTACATTTTTCCTCATTCATTCTTGTCACTTTTCGTACCAGTTAAACTCAATGGTTGTTGCAGTTTGCTTCAATATTATTTGGGGAAGGAGACAAAACTGGTAGTAGTGATGATGTTGGGATGTGTATGAATGTCAGCAGTATAAATGGTATTCTGAATGAGAGACGGTATTCACCCTTTTTTTATTGGTGCTTTTATCTCGGATAAAAAACAATGTTGATAAACGTTTATTGAGCGCGGCATAGAAATAAATAATAAAAGTGATTCAGCAACACGGCATAATAACAATTAATAGAACTTTTATAAAAACTCAAAACTAAAATGAAATTCGATCCCAAACTTACAAAACAAATGGGCTTTTTCTTCAAAAATATCGGCACCACGAGGGTTGATATGACCTCTGCTGTTGCGAACCATCGAAAAAATAAAAAAATGAAATTCGGGTGAAGCACCCTCATCTTGACGTCAAAAATGACAGAAAGACAGTGTAAAATTTCACTTAGACAGGATTTATCATATTTGAGTAAAAGTTTAAATGTAGAAAAATATATCTTAGAAAATCAAATCAGAATTAGTTACCTAAATGAGGATCATAAATGAGGAAAGGTAGATTCTTTTTTTGTGCAGAAAGCTGAACTTTTTTTAGCTTCTAAATAGTATAGAGTGTTGTTTTTTAAGATTATTATCAAATATAGGATACATTTTGAACATATTATTTATCATATTATAATTGAGCATATAAAATGTAAGGGGGACGTAATTAAAAAAAATGGAAATATGAAAAATATATTTTAAAAATTTAAATTTAAATAATCACTCACAAAGATTACACAACAAAAAAGATTAAAAATGTTTAACTGTATAGTATTTTTGGTTGTTTTGTTTATGTAAGTTTAAATGATAATGGTACAATTTTAGTTTGCGTATGTTTAAACTGAACAAATTTTTAACTAAATGAAGACTCCTCTAACGGTGTAAAACCATGGCGATGTCTTACAGTTATTAGATAATATCATGTTATTTTATTAATAACTTTAAAACAAATATTCAAAATGTCATTAAAATTGGCCATATTATTCCATAAAATGAGGCCAATTTTCCAATTATGTAAGGATCCAGGTAGCGACCTCCTCAATAAAGGCAATGGCAGTAATCACGAACTCCTAGTTGGTATAAAACACGAGGTGTACTTTTTGATAAATAAGAAGATTATTTGAAGATCGTGAGATGCAGTCTGGAGTGACGTAGGTTTTAGAAAAATATTTTCTTTATCGTGCCAACGTTTCGTTTATTGAGATAATCTTCGTGTTGACACGACAGACAGGAGAATGACACAACTAAGCAGAAAACGAACACTTTGAGCCCTGAAGATGATCTCAATAAAGGTCGAAACGTTGGCACGATAAAGAAAATGTTTTTCTGAAACCTACGTCACACCAGACCGCATCTCACGATCTCCAAATAATCATTAACTAACGGTCACTAAACACCACACAAAATAAGAAGAACGGTCAATTGCAAAACATGTTTATTTGTCATTGTGCATGTTTTCATTGAAATTCTCTCATATCATCGAAGTCGAAATTATTTCCAATTATTTTCACTTTGACGTGCCAAAAGGCTTTAAATTGAGAAACCTAACAAACTTGTACATTTCCGGACAATATTAGGAAACAAAGTGCTGGGGTCAAGCGGATGGTTTTTTGAAATAATTCATACCACTTGGTCACGTATCGATGGCGTTCAAAAGCAGTTTGTTTAGTGGTAAAACGCAAAACACTTTCTTGTCCATTTTCTTATTCGAGCCTTTCTTTTGTTTGTGCACGAGGAAAACAGATTTCCTCCAATATTGAGATTTCATTCCTACTACCTTCATTTTCCGCTCTTCCATTCGTTCTAATGCGCTACAAATTTTGCCGCGTGTTCGTCATTGTTGATTATTTGTTTCTAATAAGGAAATTAATTTTAAGCAAATACGTCAGAGTGTTGTAGAATACCTTGACACGGAGCTGGAATCCGTGGAGCGCCTGGGGCGGTGCCGGGTAAAGGAAAGTTCCGTAAGGCGAGGTCGAAAATTCGACGAGGATTTCCGGACCGGAAGAAATAGCCTTAGGCACCGCAGAACCGCCCCCGCAGAATTTCAGAAGCACCGGGTCTCTCGTCGTATAGCCGTCGTAAATCGTCACGTAGTCTTGCACCTCCTCGCAGTCTTTCCATATCTACAAATTGAAACACAGTCATGAATAAAATCCTTCTTTTCTACACGAAACCCTACGATTGAATTTATTTTGGTTTGGAAATTTCAACGGAGAAATTAAAATTACGAGTATTAACTGTCCAACTGAACGTCACTGGTCATCAATACAGGCTTATATCCTTAATAACCGGGGAAGGTGTAAAGTCATATTACATACATACTAGTAGTCAATTTCTACATTACCAAGTACTCAAGAAAGTTTTGCCGTTTTTTAGGGAAAACATAAAAAATGAATGTAGAAAAATAGATCTCAACAACTACACGAACATAGTAATATCTTACACTTCATAATCCATAGTAGACTTCATCAATATTTAACAGACCTAAACTCTTTACATAAAACATGATAATAACTGTAGAAACCGAACACAACATAGTATAAACATCCTTGACTCAAATATCAAAAAAATTAAACCTCCGCCTACACAAAAACCAATGATACTGAAACCATCGTTCGAGCTGATTAAATCCACTCACGCTGACTCAAAAATCATTTTGTGCCTCACAAACAATTGTGTTTTTACCGACGGTACCACTAAACAAGGATAAGTACAAAATGAAATAAAAACAACACGAATAACCAAGGAGAAGTACGAAATGAAGTAAAAGCAGTATCACTAAACAAGGATAAGCGTAAGACGAGTAAAATCAGTTCCAGTATACAAGGAGAAGTATACGGAACAAATTAAAATAAGCATAATTAATGAACTATTAAAAATAAGATAGACACAAAAACAAAACAACACCGCTATTCACACAGTCATCGCTCACCTTTAATTGGGCTAAATACAACACTCAATTTCAAATTATATGTACAAAAATCTGAACAAGTCATACAGAATAGGCGTTTAAGGATACATGAGTGAAAACATTTAAAGATAATCAGTGGAAAATTATATCGATCTGACAGGACGAAAAATAAAACAAGATATAAACTAATTTGTTGTTGATCATGGGTGCGGTCACAAAGAAGTTTTTTTTTAAATTAAATTTATTTATTAAAACTGGTCTTATTAGACCAACCATTAATTTTACAATAATACTATAGAATACATAAATGTTTACATTCTTATAAACCCATTGGTACAAGATTTACATTTCACTATTCACTATTCACTTTCAACTACACAAGTTCATATGGCTTTGTTCGTTTTAATCTTCTGACCGTGTTTCGGTTATGTAAGAGTTTGGTCGCTTCCACATTCTCGTGCTGGCTGAGGCGAGCCTGGTGTTTGGCGGCAAATCTTTGTATTTCCGCGTTACTTCAGGGATCTTAAGATCCCTATGTAAGTCCTTATTCCTTATGTACCAAGGTGCATTGACCATGTTACGTAAGGTTTTGTTTTGGAGTGTTTGTATGATTTTGATATTGCTGTGTTTGGTACAACCCCATAGTTGAATACCATATGTCCACATAGGCTTTATGACTTGTTTATATAATAATATTTTATTTTGTTTAGCAAGATTGGAGCCACGTCCTATCAACCAGTATAGTTGTCTATACCTTAAACCTATTTCTGTCCTGTTTTTCTTCACGTGTTCTTTCCATCTCAGCTTGGCATCTAAGGTCATTCCCAATATTTAGCTTTATTGCTGTATGGTATAGTAGTGAGCGACCTTCCATGGTCCACCTTTTTGTTTGTAAAGATTAGATGAACAGATTTATGCTGATTTAGCTCGATTTTCCATTTTTTTGTCCATTCGTTTATCTTATTACATGCATTTTGGAGGATTTTGGTTGAATGGGTGATAGTCGGTCCTAGTGATATCACCGCTGTGTCATCTGCAAACGTTGCAATTTTTACTCCATCTATTTTCGGAAAATCACTGGTGTATAACAAGTAAAGCAGTGGACCTAATATGCTACCTTGTGGCACTCCTGCATTTATTGTTTTTAATTTTGAATATTGATCTTCTTGTTTGACTCTAAACAGTCTGTCAGTTAGGTAGGAACTGATAATATCGACATACTGGTTTGGTAGCATACCTTTTAGTTTATTGATGAGTCCTTCGAGCCAGACCTTGTCAAAAGCTTGTGAGACATCAAGGAAGATAACAGAACAAATTTGTTTTTCTTCGAGAGATTTTTCTATTACGTCCGTTACTCGGTGAATTTGGTCTATTGTTGAGTGTCTTGTTCGGAATCCAAATTGGTGGTCAGGAATGATTTTCTTTTTTTCAACGATGTGTTTTATTCGTTTTAATAATAACTTTTCGAAGAGTTTAGACACTGTTGGTAGTAGCGATATTGGTCTATATGATTTGACCTCGTTCGCCGGTTTTCCTGTTTTTTTTAAATCATAATGACTTCTGCGAATTTCCTGATGCTGGGAACATATTTCAGTCTGATTGCAGCATTAAATAGGTATGTTAGTTTAACTATACCCTTTTTTGGCAATTGTTTTAGTATATCTCCAGTGATAAGGTCTTATCCTGGAGTCTTTTTAGCAGGTAAATTTTTAATTTCTCGTGCTACTGTCACAAAGAAGTGAGTATTGTAACTTTTGGCCAAGCTTTCGGCCTTTATTACTGTCTTCTTCAGGGATCTACAGGTAATTTCAAAAAATAATATTTGGGCATACAATACATAAATTAATTAAGAAACGTCAAATTCCACGTTTCATTGTCATAAATAAATTTGATTACAGTGATAGGGATAAAAGAGGCGGCCACAAGGCCTGCTGCACCTCGACCTGAATAGATCTATTATGCTCCCCTGTTATTTATAATTCACTGGCCAGCTACAGGTTATTAATCAGTTTCCTCAGCTTTGCCAGTGGCTCTTTAGCTTAGGATCTTGTTTGTGTTTTTTTTGTCCTAGTTGCAAGAACCTGCACCTACATAGACAGAAACATAGAATATGTTCTGCGGTCTCCTTATCTTCCTGGCAGTATCTGCACGGTTTTTCTTCTGTTTGTACTTCTATTCGGTGCATGTGCCTTCTTATGTAGCAGTGCTCTGTCAGGAGTCCGACCAGTATCCTGGTTCGGTTGCGGTTGCCTTTCAGTAATTCTTTTGTAAGTTTGGATGGTCCTTCAATGAATCTCTTCGCCTGCCTCATACCTGTGGTATTATTCCACCAGGTTTTGAACTTATTAAGGACCCATTTTAAGATGTATCCTCTTCCCATGTTGCTCCTCTTTTTGGCCAATGTCAACCTTTTCGTTTCCTCTATGCCAGGAATGTCCAGGGACTCAAGCCAGGGTCAGGTCATTAATGTCACTGACTCCGTCAGGGCCTCCATGCAGTTCAAAACACTCTTTACCTTCGTAGCCTCACATGAGGCTAGAGCCCTAAGTGCTGCCTGGCTATCATAGAAAATGGCTAGCTTGCAGGAATGTATTCCTAGACTTTTTATTTCTCTGGCACATTGTTAATCCATATGATTTCATACTGGAAAACTGCGGCATATTTACCTAGGTTTACCGTCAGTTCGGTCTTTGGGTTCATCCAGAAGAATCCAGCTCCGGTACCCTTGTCGGTTTTGATTACAATAAACTCTCTTACCTTCGAAAGATATCAAAATAAGATCATCTCACAACATGAACCCTCAACAATTCAGGCACGCTTGAACTAATGCATGATTTAGAAAAAGGAGGATAAAAGGACATAGTTGAAAACTTACAAATATACAAACACAACACAGACAACAAGAAAAATCCATGAATACTCATATGAACTTATCCATGTAATTAACTGTTTAAGAAACTAGAAAAAAATAAACCAAGATGACAAGGGCACACGCCTTTCATGAACATATGCAGAATGAAAATGTAGAAACATATCACTAAAAATGGCAAGAAACCAAACAGCGTCTGACAAACCAACACGATGAGTGTAGGTAGGCCAAAACTGGAATGACCTTTTCAAAAAAAATATTCTCCATTGCTTCAAAAACCCTCCTTCAAAGATGAGAACAACGGTCGAAAATCGTTTTGGTTCAATTTATTTACCTTTCTCGGCTTTCTAAACCTCAGCTTGGAAGATACTGGCGTATTTTCCCAAGTGTTATGTGTATTTGGTTCCAGGAAAGAATACTCCTGCCGTACCTTTTTGCGTTTTAGATCCATCTGGTGCCATTCTTAAAGCATGTGTTTCTCTCTTTCCCATTCTATTATTTGGAAATTTTCATTAAACTCAACCATCCTGTTCATGTCAACCCTTGGGGACAAGAGTTTTGGTTGGTTTTTCATTAGACTGTTGCAATCTTTCCACTTTAGTTTTATTCCTATTGGAAGTTTCTTTTTGATAATACTAATAATAGTTTTCTGTACTGTCCTCATTACAATGTGGTGGAGGGGGATTAATCCCAGTATCTCCGCCATACCAGCTGTGGGACATGTTCTCATCGCTCCCGTATACAGATGCATGCAAGTATTTTTGTGAGTTCTCTTTTGTTATTCGTTCTACTTTATCAGCCCAAGATATGGCGCCATATGTTCCGGTCTGCATCCCCAATTTTTTCCTGCTCGAGCCGATATGTTCCTTAAATACCAGTGTTTTGTCAAGTGACGCCTTGATATTTGGCCTCTTTCTTCATTTCTACGACTTTTATCTGTCACATGTTTAGTAATATTTTCATAGGGATTGAATAAGAGGCGATTTGAACATGCATCATTTGGTTTAGATGTCTCATTTATTGTTAGAACCAATTTGATTATCCTATTCCAAAATCGATCTCTTTTTATTCGGAAAGCAAAGGAACAAGATATTAAATAACAGGATTATTGGGTTCTGTTAAATTGTGCGGCACCAATCAAGCTTTTTGTTTTACCTTTCCATTTGATACAAGAATTCCAGGCTGACTTTCTGAAAATTTCAGTTCCGTGAGCAGGTGTGGCGGTGATCCGATGCTATTAAATCTCCCAGAGCTGTTCATCTAATCTTATAACAAAAGATACAAGATTCTCTATAATCTTTGTTCTTTTTTTGTGAGCAGCTCACTCGCATTAAAACCGAGTTTGTACTTTAACCGTTTAAACGCTAAATTAAGACTGGATTACAGTTTAATCATTATAAAAAATAAACAACGGTGGGACCCTAGAAAAGGCCGGATTAAAATTAAACCAATAACAAAAGCGATGAATTCCAAAAAAAAAAAAAACAAGAATGTATTTACAAAACGGCAGAACTTTTTGGAGGACCTAGGCAAAATGAATGATTAATAAATTTACATTCTGCGTTATAAAACCATAAATTATTTTGTTGTTTGGAAATCGTGAATGAAGGTCCCCGAGGTTCCGGAGGATGTGCTAACTCTGGTTCGGAAGCAAAAACCGCAATTGGTAGAAAGTGGTTCAGCCGACAATACAAACTCGTACAAAACACCGACTCTAATAACAACAAACAGCTCTATGATAATAAAAAATTTTCATCATACATTTCCTAAGGAGAAAATTAATCTTGAAAATAATTATGAATAGTATAAAGTGTATTTTAGTTTTAAACTATACTATTTTTAATGAGTATTTGTAAAAAAATAAAAATTTTAGGGTAATGTAAAACCTTGAGTGTGCTGAGGTGAGGGTTTGTGGGTTGGGTCGGCCTTGCATACAGTGCGCTCTGGCTTCTTATGTTGACCATGTGCCCTTCCGTCTGATAAACGGAAATGAGGGCGTGCTTTCCCTCTGGGATACTCTGTTGTCTCACCGCGTAGTAGCAGGTCATATTTCTCGGGTAGACCCCTGGGAAGTTGGGGCTTTGGAGGCGGCAGTCTTTCTTGTCGCAATCGCTGAACATCCTTGAGCAATAGGTCATCCCGATACGGTTCCCGAGGTAGTAGTTTTCAGACGTCGTGTTCGCCAACTCTACACTCGTCTCTTCGTTCGTTTTGCTATCATTATCTATAACTATAATCTGACTGGTTTATTAAAAGCTCAAAAGATTTTTTAAATTAAATAAATATGTATTAATTTATTATTATTAATTATCAATTATATTTAGTGGTCTATTGACCAAATTACTTCTTTCAATTAATTAATTCTTTTATGTAAGGTTTTGGTTGAAATGAAAAAGTCTGTGCCACAAGCGGGATTCGAACCCACGACCTTCGGCTAAATACGCCGCTGTTCTACCACTTGGGCTATCTTGACTTCGGGCCATTCGGACTTTTTCATTTCAACCGAAACCTTACATAAAAGGATTAATTATTAATTATATATTAATTGCGAAACTCTTTCATCCTTAAAACTCATTATTTTCATGCTGTAGTTTTTTAATGAGATTTTTTAGTCATCATTTTATTTCAAATGTAAGCTGTGTGGGTAATAATTAGCATTTAACCCATAAAAAAATTGTTTTGTACTATCTATCTGGTTTAGATAATTTAACATTATTCAAACAAATCGCAGAAAGATTAAACTAACTAAAATTAATTGGTAAAACTCCATGGCTACAGATTTCATGAACCTGCATACACCTTAAAGAAATTTATCTAATTTATCTGATCTTGTTTATAGAACAATAAAAATGTTAGAGATAGGTTGGTCTGCGAGTCAGTCAACTCATGCTGAACCGGCATAGGATCACTAATTGGTTCCGTCTTCACCCGCGGGTTTGTTGGATTATTCTAACGCTTTCGGCATTGCGTCTTCAGTGAGGAACTGTCCATCACTTTGTCCGAGTAGGGTTTATATGTCATTAGGTCTGTCGGTTGTCGTTAGGGGCGTTTGCGGTAAGGGGCGATATCACTATGTAACAAGGAGCTCCGTGACCTCGTCCCCTGTCGCAAACGCTCCTAGCGACAACCGACGAATCCAACGACATACAAACCCTACTCGAACAAAGTGACAGAAATTCTTCACTGAAGATGACGCAATGCGCAATAAAACCCACGCATGAAGACGGTCCCGATAAGTGACCTATATGAGATATCTATATTGCCCGAAACGTGCTTTGCACTGGATTTTACCTTGTTGGGAACTACTTCCATATCTGACAGTTGCATCTCCTTTTGGAAGCATTTTGTAGGAAATGCGAAAGTCGAAATTGTATCCGTTCTGGTCCGACGATAGCGTGAGGAGAGTGATGGAGAGCTTGAGGGAGGAAGACTCGGAGTAATAGAGCACCGGACCCCAGGAGGTGCCGCACCAGATGCCTCCGACGGACGGACGTCCTTTCTCCTCCATCGAGAGCCAACCGTCGGGGCAGCCGTTGATGTTGAAAGACGTGAATTTGCCCAGTGTGAACCGCTCGAGTGTCACCTAGAAAAACGTTTAACGTTTAAACCTTCCTGAAAATATTTATAAGACGGGATGATATTTCGTTGCTTAAGTGGAAAGTTGTATAGGTGAACTTTTCTTCGGAATCTCGCTTCTTACAGGGGCTCGTGAAAGCCCGTCGGACAAGGAGATTAATGGAAAGATTCGAGCTTTCCCGCCTTCGCTTAATGCAGCTTTTATCTTCGTTTTAAATCCGGGAAGGTTGAGACCTTTTTTCGTTATAATCACTTCAATGGCTACACATGAATGTATTAATTGTTCACGTTCCATCCTTCTCAAGCCTTGCTTATTTTTGATAAATTAATTTTTTCAATGATCTTCTAATCGAAATAAAGTTTTATGCCTTCATTCTTTGAACCTGGACCATAAGTCTTGGGCAGTTTTATAACCTATAATAAGCAATAGCATGACAAAACGAATCCCGCAACTAAAATCAAGTTATTTCACACTCATGCTTATAATTACACACATATATATAATTCAAACCAAAATACTTTGATTGAATATATATTAAAAAAAAAATATATACATATATATATATATATATATATATATANTAAAGATCGAAACGTTGGCACGATAAAGAAAATGTTTTTCTGAAACCTACATCACACCAGACCGCATCTCACGATTTCTAAATAAATATAGATTAACGGTCACTAATCACCACACATTCAAACCAAAAAGTTTTATTTAGAAGAGAAAACATTTTACATGCATTGTGCATAAAAGCGACTCTTACATAGTTAAAATATATAATATATTATGTGTAGTAATTCTTATAATAACAATAAATATATATATTTATAAAATAATGATTTATATAATTGATAGATGGTGTCACATAGTAGACCTCTAGGTCAAGAAGCAATCTATAGCATTTTCTTTTTAAATTGTTTTTAACTTTAAATAGTTCCCACATTTCGTTGTCAATTTTTGCCATTAAGTACAGGCTACAGGGCTCATAAAGGTACGTAGCGCTTGGGTAGAGCAAATTTGACCTTATGCATGTTTCTGTAGTCATGAAATGGGATAACAAATTTAAACTTGTCTTGAAGGACATCCAGGAACACAATTATATTGAGTTGTTTAACCTTAGGGGAAAAGCTGTCTCTATATCCCAGCCCAAGTATCACTAACGAAGTCCTCTTTTGAAGCAAGAAAACCATTTGAAACAGGTCCACATCTCTGACCCGGAAACCAATGCCACGTCTAACAAGTGTCATAGAAAGAGGATAATAAGTTAGTTGTTGATTCTGGTGTATAACCGGTTTCAAACACTTGAGTCAAAAACACGCAGCAGTCACTTTATGCACCAGTTAAGTGATGTGACATTCAAAACGAAGGCTATAGTTATGTTCAATCCCCCCAAAATCCTTTGCAATCCACAATGTCCAATTTCCCTCAAATATTAAGGGAACAGAGGATTTCAAAGATGCTGGTTCTAATCCTGCTGAACATTACATTTCATGATGTAGAATGATACATTCAAGCTTTTAATAGTAAACCAACCTTGCTCAATCGAATAATGCAGCTTAAAGAGAATGAGCTCGACGACGAAATTGGAATCATTGGAGCAATAAGTTAGATGGGAAGGTCGGTAACATAAAATAGGAAAAGTATTGTTGGGCTTAGCAGCCTGCCAAAAAAGAGGATACATCTTAAAATGGATTCTTAATGAGTCCAAAACCTGCTGGAATAATACCACAGGTATGAGGCACGCAGAGATTCATAGAAGGATTATCCAAACTTACAAACTAATTACTGGAAGGCAACCGCAACCGAACCAGGATACTGGTCGGACTCCTGACAGGACATTACGTTCCCGCATGCTACTCGGACGTCCTAAAAGGACAATGAGGATCTTTAACGTCCACACCTAGCATTTCCGGCCTTATCGGACATTTTGATTCTCAAGATGAGAGCTGACTCACCTCCGCATACGACAGATGGGTGTTACAGCCGCAGCATTGGTGTAGAGGTTGTTCCGGCCCCGAGGGGCCAAGACAGGCCTCGTTCTCCGCTTTCGGCTCGGACCGTATGCAGCGCACAAAGGGCTACCTAGGCCGAAATACATCAGCCTGGTTTCCCGCGCACTTCTAGAGAGAGAAACCCACTCTATCTCCCAGGGTATTTGAGCTTTCCTAGCGATGAAACCACCGGAACCGCTCCGGCCGCGGCTTTGTTTAAGTGGAATTGCTAATCACCCCCTAGAGGAGTACCGCCTACGGTAAAATCCGCCAACCGAGCTCAGCCTACACAAACGTGCAAAGCAAACTCGAGTAAGAGCAACCGATTCACTACCCGTTCCCATCCGCCACTACTCACGCATTCGAGGGACTATCCAGCATAATCATCGCGTCTTCAACGCCTATACAGCCGTCCGATCCTCCGTACCCGTGAGGCCGGGTGTATAACGGTGATCGTACGCAAGTTTCGTGCGAAGGGCATAGATAGATGACAGCTCTTCTCTAAGTTCCCTCCAGGGGCGTCACCACGTACCACTACGAGTCTATTCCCAATGTAGCAGGGGCTGAACGTTGGAACATTTCTGCTACCCCGTAGTACAGATGGTCATGCACCCTCCCCCATCCATGCAGACAACAAACAGAACAGACAGAACAAATTCTATGTTTCTGTGAAGGTCTATGTAGGTGCAGGTTCTTGCAACTAGGACAAAAAAAAACTCAAACAAGATCCTAAGCTAAAGAGCCACTGGCAAAGCGGTGGATGCTGATTAAAAACCTGAAGCTGGCCAGTGAGTTATAAATAACAGGGGAGCACAATATTCAGGTCGAGGTGCAGAAGGCCTTGTGGCCGCCTCTTTTATCCCTATCCCTATCCTTAATGTGCTTCCTTGAGGCACTCCCATATTATCGGAGCCGACACCCACCTTCATATTTATTATAGATTATCTTCCTTGGAGATATGTGCTAAGCCATTTGAGTACATAACTTCTTACACCATTCACCCCCAAATTACTGATTACACGGTCAGGAGGTTTGGATAAATCCAGGAATATTTCAACTGCATAATCTCCCTCATCCAAATTTGAGTGCGCATAGTTTGTCAAATAAAATAGTTACTTGAAAAATGATCCACCTATACTTATAAAGACGGTCAAACGATCGTACAGAATGCGTTCGAACACTTTAGAGAAGAAGGTAAGAATCGATCTATAGTTGTTCAACAGTTTTTGATCACCTTTCTTATGGATAATCAATGTTTACTTAAAAGTGTCAGAAAAGTACACTCGATGGAAAGATTAAAAAGATCAGCTAGTGGCTCAGCGATATACGCCACACATTTCTTATTTATAGAAGGGGTAGTTCATCTAGACCCAGAGTTCAGTTTATCTTGCAGAGCATTCAAGCCTGAGTCAGGTTTAAATCTTCTAGATTGAACAGTCCGATGTGAACGGGGCTTAGGACAAATACTCAATTGGAGACTTAAGCAGTCGATAATTGAGACGAAGGAATCAAATTTGGAGTTGATATCCTTTCCTATTATTTGTAATTGCCTGTGTTACGAATCGAAACTTAGATATACTTTTTCAATCCGGTTTTTGTACTAGTTTTTCAACAAATTCGACTGTTTTAACAATATCTACCGATGTTCAAATAGTTATTGATTAAGGTAAAATTATTATTCTTGTCCTTCTTGATTTTTCTAAAGCTATCATCAACCATTCTCTTTTTCTTTCTAAACTCAGTTCTCTTTCTTTTTCCTACAGTGTTATTTTTCTTGGTTCGTTCTCACTTCAGACAAGCCTCCTTCCTTACCCTGCACATAATTTCTGGAGTTCCTCAAGACTCTAATATATCTGCCTCCTTTTTTTGCTATTATAACATTGATTTTCTTAATATTCTTAAATATAACACTTATCAGCTCTACGGATGACTTCCAAATGCAAATCTTCTTTTCACCTCATGACATTCAAATCTCAATCCCACGAATCCAAGAGGACTTAAATCAGCTCTTGGGTATTGCAAATGGACTCTCAATATCAATAGGGGTCCAGGCTATAGTGTTTGGATCCCATCCCTTCTCCAATCCTTACCTTATGCCTTCGCTCAGCATTGAAAACCAACTAACTTATTTACCAACTTACCCATCTATCAACAACCTAAGGATCTTCCTTGATCACACCTGTTTGAGCTCGTGCATTTTTCTTAATATTTAAAGGTACTAAACTTTCCTTTATAATTTTTCCTTTCATTCCTCTTTTCCCATTTCAATTTATTTTAAACCCTTTTTAAAATATGTAAAATAAGTGTTTGTTAATGAATTTAAATTTATCGTTAGGCGTAGAGAAAAATAGACAACGCTTAAATTTACCAGTTGTTGACCGAAACAATCCGCCTTCGAACAACAATAACACTCCGCTCGGCGGTAAGACCATTCGGTTCTCAAGCTTTGACCATTTCGACTCCATTTTTGTGTTCTCGGCTTCACCCTTTTTCATAATTTTTTCGTTCGTTTGTCTTCGGAAAAAGGAGAGAACTTTGTCGATACTCGGGGAAATCATCGTCCCGAGTAATTGGTATCGCTTGTTCTCGAATCAGCCAAAATAGTGAGAATCACTGGCAGAAAATCTCGCTGCTCGACCAACAGAAGCAGGAACTTCGTTCGATCTTCTCTTACAGGACATCTGGAATTTCACCGCTTCGAATCTCCTTCGTCCATCGATCCATCAACGGGAATCATTCATCGACATCGTACTTCAAAATCTGTATTTATTTTTTCTTTATAATTTTGCATGCAAGCTTGCTTCATCATTTTTTTCTTTCACCTCAAATGTGCGCAGGGGATAATTTAAGGAACAATTATTAATTTCATATTAATCACCCCCTTATTTTCGATTATGTTGTTTAGGTTTGTTACAAAATTTTAATAGTTAACACTTATTTTTGTTAATTTCTGTTCATATTCGATAAAATTGACTAAATTCAAATTTGATCTAAGATTATCCGTTATTTTTT